AATAACATGTTCTTAACCTGAATAGGAGAAAAGGATTAACGTTTTAAATGGAAGAACCAGTTCCTATTTTTTTGTGTTTAGTGTATTTTTAATTTTATTTTGTAGCAGAAGAAATATAAAATCAACAAATAAGCGATGCAACGAAAACGTTTAGAGAATGGCATCTAATGTTTGATTAAAATTACGTGACAACACAAGATCTTAAGTAATTATTTAAGGAATACCACATACAATTGTTTAGTAAATTTGTCTATTTGTATAAAGAAGTTTTCAAAAGTATCTTTCACTTGTATTGTATATCTAAAAATTGTATGCTAATTACGAAGGAAACGAACAGTTCTAGGTCTTTCTCGGCAAACATGGATAGGCAAATGTTGCTAAATAGTTTTGGTTCGTCATCTTTGTATTGAGAGAATAAACTTTACGACAAGCGTTTCTAGGACGAGAAAACTATAAAACACTTGCGAACTTTTGTCGTGGATATTATTTTGAATACTAAACGATTCATTCATTGTTGCGATAAATTGACTACATTATACATAACTAATTTTGGCACAAGCCGAAATACCATCTTTATATGCTTACACATTCTTTTTCAATTACGTTTTTTAATATCCTTTTCCTTCAAGTATTTTGTTTTCGTCTGTTTTATCGAGAAAGCATTGAAAAATATTTTACCGAAGGTTTTCCTTACAAGAACTATAAATCTTCCGTTTTCTTACATAGGCTTATCTTGTGTCTGATTAATTCTTATGAAACATAGAACCTAATAAGAAATTGTCGTTTTTGCATACACCTAAAGTTAAACTAGAAATCTTTGACTCCGTAGAAAGCTTAATCTCACACAACATGAAATGTAGTATCATTTGACAATCTCAGTATAGTATAATATTTGAGAGCAAATTAGTTACAACGAGCAATAGTTATTAACACAAATGGTAGGTACATAGACTTCGCGAAATCATATGTCTAAGAGAACGTTAAGCTCATCTTTATGCTGTAATACAAAAGAGTTGGCGGAAAACAAGAAATATGAGAATAGTATATATTAAAATTAACTTTTTTGTGCCAACGGTTGTTGTCTTTTTATATAAACTATATAAAACACACTTTTAAAGTCGTGCTGAAATCTGCTGAAAAGTATCCTAATCGTATTAATTGATTCATAAAGTATTTTCATATAAAGTCTTTCCAACTAATCATCAAAATTTTATATTGTAACCAACGTACTTTTAATGTGAATAATGGTCATCTGTTAATACCAATAATTATTGCATTTAAACTTTTAGTAAAAACTATAAAACAAAAAAATACGACACGGGCGGGACTCGATCCGCCATCCACACCGTTCCGTGCTGCTGGTCTAACAGTAGAAGTAGAATCGTGAGCAAAAAATATAAAAGTTTTCATTTTTTTCAACATTTCTGTGCAGGATTTGGAATAAAACTTCCACAACCTCACCAACATAGCACTAAACGGACACAATTCCTAGAAAATCGCTTACTCTCATAGTTTGCGCCGTATGGCGAACTACGGACGGGCAAAGTAATGATTGCACCGCAAGTGACGACGAGGTGAAAGTGGCATTGGATCGTAAACTCACTGACGTTACTCACAGTCGAGGTCAAGTGTAGAACAGGTTTCTTAGCATTTACTTTTCTTCCGAGGAAGTAAAAGTTTTCTGAACTTTTCGGCGTCTTTCGTGACTTTAGGACAAAGTAATTATGTGGTGTCATACTAGAGGAAAAAGACATCGCCATGCAGTTCTGTTCGCAACTTTCTTTATTTAATATTCCTTAGCAAGAAAAGGTTGTACATACATGCTGTAGATCTCAATTAATACTGCGCTTACTACTCGTATATCAGTAACGACTGTAAATCGAGTACGTAAATAATAAATTATAAAAAAAAGAAAATGTTTTTATAGACTTGATTTTCCTGCATTTAATAGCAAATTTCGTTTAATATCAACGGCGCTGTGTTTCCTGTTATTAGACTCGGAGAAAAATAGTGTTATTGTTATATACGCTACCAAAGTTACTCCTGAAAATACCAATCGCCCCTTTCCCATTTTATACGACTCTTATTCTCTTCTCTTCTTATCTTATCTTGAAACCCAATTCCTGATACGGTCTTAAAGCACCGGATAAATATACAGCAAACAGATGAGAATAATTAAAGATATTTATTTGAGTTGCTACTTACTATATAATACAATTTAAACAAACAAACGTACAAAGACTTAAAACTCAAATCATACATACATCCATATTTTGGGTTGAGATTATCAACCCAAAATATGGATAACCGCAAAATATTTGTTTTACCTCTTATTTTCTACATCTAGATCAAGACCGAGTCGCCTTCATTGTTTAATGTTGTAGTACTATTGTACTATTTCATTTACCTTACCTAGCATTACATGAGAAATCCTGAAAAGAAATCCAGGGGAAATAAAAAAAAATCGCTAGGACACAAAATCCGATTAATGACATGTAAATATAGTCCATTATTGAAACAAACGCAGAACAGTGTATTTCCCTTGCCCAACGTAAGCCTTCAGCTAACCTTCCTTTGTCCTAATTTAATTTGATGCCATTGGAAATTGCCAATTTCTGTCGTTGGCATGAAAATTCTATGCAAATGTAGTTTACATTCCAATAAGCGCGATACGAATTTTAGAATATTTATTAGGAGATCATTCACAACAATGATGGTAAAATAGTAGTACTGCTAAGTTAGAGGTCCTATTTATTATATAGTAAAAATAATCTATACTAATATATAAAGTCAAAGACTTTGGAAGAATAATTCCTATTGAAATCACCCAAAGAAATGTCCGCGACAGTATATATATGTCTGTCTATTAAGATTAACTTGCAAGAACGACGGCACGTCGTGGGTTAAAGCTTAAATTGATAGAGTTGAATAGAAGGTTTGCATAAAACAAATTCGATGCTCAAAATAACTCAACGCGGACAAAGTCGCTGACACAGCTAGTCATTTATCATAATGGAGTAGGAACCGTTGTTAATCTTCAACATTGAAGAATCACAAATGAAAACGCCGTCAAGGATTACACTTTGTCAATGAGTTGACAGACGGAAAGCTTTCCTAGCCTAGATTTATGAAAAGTTTTTAGGTTTTCGGCTTCTGATTGCCATCCGTTGTAATGCGACTTGTAAATTCTAACTCAACAATAGTACCAAAATAGCTTTTAAACTGTACTTTCTATTATGCTGACCCTGATTTGCTTTGTGCTACAAAAATGTCATTACGCAGTAAAAGTATCTAGCGCAAATTAATAATGGTGTAGCTAATTATGTTTACTTAAATAATTTTGAAGTTTCTTTCTTTTTAATGGTGCTAACAGTTGTTTTTTTAGCCTTTCGTATCTCAAAAGTTATAAGATCCTTTACTATGACTTAGCTGTTCTTATGTCATCAGACATGCAGCGCAGATCGTCGCAGCTGGGTTTTAATCCCAATTAGTTGTGCATGAATTCAGGTAAAATTTTTATTTTTGGTTTTGATAATTTTATCCCAAAGGTTGGAAGAGGAAACCTATTATAATACTTCGCTGTCTGTCTGTCACATAAAGCGTGATAGTTCAGAATTTCACAAAAAACTAAAATCAATATTTAAAGGCTGCCATACAACGAACGTCAATTTTTTGCAAAAACATGCACATCATTCAGATTTGTTTAGTCTTTAATTATTAGTACAAATGGACAACGAAATTGACTCACAATTGAGTAAATATTTACATCTTGTACCCATCTTGTTGTTTCTTTTTTTATACTTGTATATAAAAAACACGTATCGACTTAAATTTCCATTAAGACCTATAAAACAACCAAGCAAGACGCATTAGCTGAAATAGCCAAAAACTTCATGAAATGTCGGTCACCATAAGATGAAATATCGCGTTAATGAATTTGAAGTTTCTAGTTTACAGACCGAGTTAGATGGGCATAAGTTTTTAAAGCCTTACCAGATACTTTACCTACTTTTAGTATTTAATTTAACCAATTAATTCACATGTTGGGTACATGTCTCCCCTCGTATTGAATATTTTAATGGATTTACGTTTTCGTTGGTTACGGGCATGTAAAGCCTTCAGATTGGATCGTCTCCAAACTCTGAGACTATTTCTAAACAAATATTTTATTTACCAAAATAACTATTTCGATTTCATGAGCTTCATATTTTAAATATAATAATCTATCCTTAATTATATATAAATTTAAAGAGTTTGTTTGTTTGTTTGAACGCGCTAATCTTAGGAACTACTGGTTCGAATTGAAAAATATTTTTCTGTTGGTTAGATCATCAGACGTAGGTAACAGTTTGCAAAAACAATTTTGGGTGCCAAAATAAGTATTCTACGCAGACGAAGTCGTTGACTCAGCTATATATATATATATGATATTACATGTTTTTTAAATAATCGTTCGTAATGAAATAAATTCCTTTTTGTTATTATTTTCTATTGCTTTCGTAATTAACTATTTGAAACAAAGGAATAGCAATCTTAGAAAATACCGTTCTTAAAAAGTCACAAAGATTCAATTTACCTCTCAGAAAAAGTAGTAATCCTGGGACAGTGCTACAGCGATACACTTTTATTGCTTTTATTTATGTCTTACTCAACCTTGAGATGTTTTAATATGCAGATATAATAACATAATTAATGTAAATCGTATAATCTTGACACTAGCATTAGAATTGCAGTTCCTGTTCCACGCGAACTGTTAAAAAATCGGTCAAGTTCGAGCCGGACCCGAAGAATTATTATATTGTAGTTTTAATATACAAGAACCAGAAAATGAAAATTCTGTATTTATAGTCATAGCGTCAACAGAGTTACACCGTGTTTGAATATTACGCATTATGAGCCTGATACACACAGACCAACGGCGGTTCCACATTTAAAATTTCGTTCTCCATTTGTTCCAGATTCCAAAGTTTATGTAGATATTACCAGTGCAAAAAACAGGAATGGCTGTTGATCCGGACACATACAAAAATAATGGAGACGTTTCCACTTCCTTCGTTTCCCAAAACGAAAAAAGAAGAGATTATGAGTAAGTCCATTTCCATAGTTAACTAGTCATTCTATCTATAATCTAAGTAAATAGCCCAATTATTCGGTTTATTGTTAACAAAGTATTTAATAAAATACGACTTAGTTTTTTTGCCGCCTCCATGTATCATAGATTACACCCATTTTCATTAATTGCGTTAAGCAGAAGTCCTGGGTTCGAATCCTGGAAAAAACACTCATAGTTACGACCGTACAGGATCCGTCTGTAGATTGCTACTATTTTTAGTAAATAAAATGGAGTGAAATAGGTACAGAAATGTATCTGCCCTATACCCCACGTAAGGGAAAAGTTATTTGTCTCTGTTAAAAATTAACTACGTAATTCAAGAAGCATATTATGTTTAGATTTACAAGTAGTAATATAAAATAATAATGTATTGTGTCCTAAATGTATATATGGACTGTTTGTTATTTAATGTATTACTTTGCTTCTAGGTGGCAGATAGTTTGGAGAAATGTGTTGGCGTTTATTTATTTACATGTCGGAACACTTTACGGGCTCTATCTCATTTTCACTGGACAGGCTAAGATCGTCACAGTATTTTTCGGTAAGTGCCTCTTAAATAAACACCACATCTATACACGAGGTGTCAAATAAATTTCGCTAGTATTACGAGTAATGGACAACAAACACACAAAACACTTTATTTACTTGCCAGGAATATTTACACATTGGTTAATTTTAACAGAAGTTTCTGTAAATTATCTTCTGACTTTTAAACGTCAAGAAACGGTAGGGAAGCAGAGAAATTTTTATTATTTTACAAGCCACAATAAGGCAATAGCGCATTTTGTTTTGAGAGTAATTGTTATATTATATTATATATCTATAAACGATAACAATAATCCTGGGTTATTTTTGAATTCATTTTATGTATTCGACGGGCTTGTTGCTAATGTATGGGTAATAATCGTGGGTTCGATACCCAATATGTCTTACTATACTACTACTACTACTATTTATAATTTCTGATTTATTTATATAATTTAGCGTATCTAATGTAGATGTTATAGGGCTGGAGTATTGCACCTGCCATCATGTGAATCCCACCCCCCCTTGTCTTTCCTCCTATATTATGAAAAATCCTATATATAAAACAGCTTCTTAAATAGTACAGGAATTTACCTCTTTTATTCCAGGCATTTTCTTTGCTATTACTTCAGCGATGGGAGTGACAGCCGGTGCCCACAGATTATGGGCGCATCGCGCATACAAAGCCAGATGGCCTCTAAGATTGTTTTTAGCCGTCCTACAGACGATGGCTTTTCAGAACCATATCTACGAATGGGTACGAGATCATAGGTAAACTAGTTTTTTATCAACATATACCATTCTTGTTACCATCCGATCGCATTCTAGTAAAATAATAACTATTAAATATCTAATGCTGTCTGTGATACGCGACGCGTAATGTGTGTGATACGCGACGCGTAATGTGTGTGATACGCGACTAGTACACATACAAGTAAAACACTTTAACGGTTTAAAACGCTATATATATTAGTTAAACTTATTTGGTTTTTTTTATAAATTTTATAGTTAACACATTTCTGTATCATTTTCCCTGATTGGGTCTTTTTCAGTAGTAAGCAGCTGATCAGACTTTTGTGCCCTACCCGACCGGAAAAACTTATTTTTTTCCCTGGGTTTGGAAGGCAAGACCTCTCGCGCTAAACGCAAACCGTGTAGCCATTTGATTTAGTCTGGGTAAAATTATTTGTATTATACGCTAAATTATAATATAAATAATGCTCTGTATATGGTAACTTTAAACCCACGGTACACGCTCGTGGGGTGGAGCTTATATTTGATTGATGACTGTAAAAGCGTGTTCCTTACGTAAAGAAATTAATTAATACAGCATTACACCTACCGAGGTCCATTAGAAACACATTTAATGTCAGTTTTCTCAATGAATCGTTTTTGCTGTATTTTTATTATCTGAGATAAGGCGGCGATAATTGTAGTCTCTCTTTTAAATGAAACTTTAAATAAAACACTTCAACGGTTTAAAACGCGATGTATATTGGTTAAACTTATTTGGTAATTATTTTTAATTACGGCCCAATGTTTTGCAGCAACCGTGGTCACGGGGAGACCGTTAAAGTGTTTTATTTAAATGTATACTACTCACGTAAACTACAGACGGGTCGTTCTTTCTTCGTAATAATTTTTATATTTAACAATAGGCGCAAACATTTTTTTTCTATGAATTTTACTATAAAACAAAATTAGTAATTGCTCTACAATCTATTGGGGTTTGAAATTATTAATGTGTCAATCTAGGCTTAATTGTCAAAACCAGTTAGGTTCAAAGGTTAAAGAATAATAAATGTACCCGACTAGAAAATAACTAGAAGTTTGATCTTTCATCAACTACTTGTAAATGAAGTCAATCTATGAAAAACACCAAGAAACGTTCCAATTAAAGTTGATTTGATATCGCAGAGTCCACCATAAATTCACGGAGACGGATGCAGATCCACACAACGCGAAACGAGGGTTTTTCTTCTCGCACATCGGGTGGCTGATGGTTCGTAAACATAAAGACGTTTTCGAAAAGGGCGCACAAGTGGATATGTCGGACCTGGAAAAGGACCCCATTGTTATGTTTCAGAAAAGGTACGTAACAACTTATAAGTATCGTGTATTTTTTCTAACTTGGCATTTTTAGTAAACAAGAACACAATTTATATGAAATAGAGATTTTACCATAATGTTTACATTGATTTACCCTAAAAACACTCTGAGACATTGGATTATAAATAAAACTAATGAGCTACCTTAAATTCAATTAGTAAAAATCACTACTTTATGCTAAAACTAATAAAAATCCTAAAAATGAATTTACGCAAATGCACAGATTCAAGTTTTTTTAGTTTAACATTTACATAAGGATGTAAGTAAAGTCAACGACAATAAAAGGTAAAAGATCCTCTCTTGCAAGATCTCTGTCTTACAAACGTTGTGTTGAATAATAAGGACATAAAAAATAAAAAAAGGACGTCATAAAAGTGATTTTGAATATTGATGTCGTTCGGTCCATAAACATAATATAATCGATATTTCTTTATCCCTGTGTCATCTGTGGCAACAACTTACCCTCTACAAAAAGTCATCACTATTTCTCTATGGTTTGAAATTGGCCATATTTGTCATGTCTTTCGCCAAGTTAGATAAAATACACTATACCTGCATACTTTTAAATCAAAACAAAGGACGATCAAAATTTCTTTAGTGGTGCGCTATTTGGTGATGATTGAAAAATATTAAACTCTCACAATACCTGACGGAAAATTTGTATGTCAAAGGGAAAGTAGACAATATGTTTTGTCATTGTGTGTTGTAGTACTTTTTATGTGATAGGTGAAAGCAGTTCGTGCAAAATTATTCCCTAACCGTTATAAAATATAAAAAATAAATATCGTTAATATATACCAGAGGTTACCGTAAGCTTTTGTTTAAAATGTAGGTAGGTACATGTCACAAAATAAAAAATTACATTTTATAAAATCAGGCACAAAAGATAAATACTTTGCTTCATCTTTTACCAGTCTCTTAATAGTATGCAACGTTTTTCATTATAACTATAATTATTTTTAATTACAAACGATATAAAAATTCTCACGTTCTTTTGAATTTAACAAAAAGGACCCGTTAAATCTCTACTTGACTATACAATATATACACACATGTATATATCCAGCGTGTGGAACACAAAGAGGATAACCTTATATTTGTAAAGGTAGTTTACTACCCGTTGATAACCTACGGGACGTAAGTATGATTCCCGACTAGCAATACATATATAATGCGTATGTAATGTGTAAATAAATCCCTGATTGTTCTACATTTTGAGGAAGAATCATCTTACACTGCGTTTCGGTTTCCAATTCAAAATAGGCCAATAGTGCATCGCAATTAGCTGTTATAGGCATCTCACCTGACCTCCTCTCTCACAAAAAAAGGCTATAAAGGTTTAAAAGATTACACAATAAGATAATAAAAAGGGTATTAAAAAACGTAGTAGGTAGGTAATTGTGTATATTTCGTGTGAATTAGGATTTTGGTGTAAAAACCTGTATCCATAGTAAAAACATATTTTATACATAACTTAATTACGTTTGGAACAATTAAACATGAGTCATTGATATATAACATATTATTATGTAGTTTTTTTAATGAAATACACATAAATTACAAACCAGTAATGATAACTAGCTAATTGCGTTTCCCTATAATTTATGAGCTATAATTAAGGTTATCATTACATGGAATTATTAATTTTTGTGACCATAGAGAAAATTATGTTCATAGGTATTATCACAGAGATATAACCGTAACAGAATTTCGGTCGAACATTCGGTTTAAATGTTCGGCAGAATACCATCTGAGTCACGAATGCCTATAAACATTATAGCTGTAAGTGGCTTAAATTCATTTTCGTAAACCTAAAGGAAAAAGTAGGTCGGCATCGGTACAGGCAATCCCAGGGGGACACTGTTTGACGTGATGTGACTCGATCTTTACCACCAAAGATTATAAAACTCAATGTTAATCTTATTTAATATCTTATATAGAAAAGAGTAACAAAATGAAACATCAAATATTGGAAAAGCTATGTCTATTAAAATAAGAGTTGTATAAAAAGTGAAATCTCAGCTGTATTGAGATTGATTGGAGAAGCGAGTAGCGTTGTTAATACTTGCATATCACTGTGCAGTGTTTGGTTTTAAAAGCTTTCTATAAATACACGTAAAATTATAAATATTAGACTCAGTATTTTAATTATAAATATTACTTTTAAAAGAGTAAACACACACACACATAAATTTTGTCAGACTCGGTAGCAATGTATGCCTATCTATCAACAGGTCCTGGATCTGATGCCCATCGGGTGTGGAATGTTCCAATTCAATTAATATTTTTTTGAAACATGTTGGACTTCGTGTAAAAATCTGAATGTTAATTGGATGGTAGGAATGTCGAAACTTTCCGGTCACGGCGCACCATACACAGATGAAAAAACCGTGAAGTTTAATCGCGTTTTGCATTTAATATCTGAATTTCAGGGGTATTTGGCCTTCCATTAAGTGAACCTGAGGCTTGTCGGTCCTCCTCTGTCATAAATCAGTTGGTACCACCGGTCATATGTCTGGCTTAGGTTGTCCAATTTAAAGGTTAAGACGCATTCAAACCTATTATCATAACTTTTAACTGTGACAAAACGTATATGAGATGCAGCATAGAAGTCTTTCCGTGGCCACAACTGTACAATTATAAAGTAACTAGTAAGAAAAGCCTTCAGTTGATTTTGATGAATTTCAGGACATATCTAGTAGTTATGCCGCTACTATGCTTCGTCCTGCCCGCCTGGATGCCAGTATTGTTGTGGAACGAGACTCCATGGTCATCATGGTACGTGGCGTCCATACTCCGGTACACGCTCACACTACACTTCACTTGGTTGGTTAACTCAGCGGCTCATATCTGGGGCAACCGGCCATACGATAAGTAAGCATTACTTTCGCTTTTAATAAAATGACTGCTCTCGGTAGGAGCGCAAGGAGAAAGTTATAACTGACCGTTAAAACCAAGTATAATCGTTCAATTAAAAAACCTGTTATACGGTATTCCTACAGGTGTGACCTTCTCTTGTTGATAACGTTTCGGAATTATTTAATTTGCGTAATTCCATTGTCATAATCAACATAAGAAATTTTGCTCGAAAGAAATTTAATAGCACCTTGACAAATTTACTATCAAATACTGTCTATAGTTTACGCGAGTAGTACACATTTAAATAAAACACTTTTAGGGTTAAAAACGCGAAATATTAGTTAATCTAATATATCGCGTTTTAAACCGTTAAAGTGTTTTATTTAAATTTACTATCGTTTATCGTTTTAAAAAGTATTCCACGTAAATTAATACATCTTGAAATTCGCATCTCACATTATTTGTTTGGTGTTATTCTGAAATTCTGTTAGTAAAGGCACGGTAGATATTTGTTACTACATTACACAAAACAATCAATTTATATAATGCCATCATGAGCAATAACATGTGCAAAATATTATAGTTTTCAAACGTTAAACTCTGTTGTTTCATCTTCAATGATGTTCTTAAGTAGCAAAGGAATTTTAATCTGCAAGAGTAAAGGTTGAAATTCCACTGCGCGAGAGGTACATGTAGGACGATGGCGTGTAGGACACAGTAGCTCAATTAATTAGAAGTTTTTCAATCTCGATCGATCGATCGATTTATTATTTAGTATAACCTAATTATAGCAATATTTCTTTCCGTAAACATATTGTGAGTAAAACTGTTAAAAATCAAAACCCTTGTTTAATAGCTTAGCAATTTTTTCCAGCAATGTTTTTGCTATTTACAGATACATAGGAGCCACCGATAATAAGACTGTAGCCATTCTTGCGTTTGGAGAAGGCTGGCATAACTATCACCACGTCTTTCCCTGGGATTATAAAGCGGCGGAGCTGGGAAACTACAGCACAAATATGTCAACTGCATTAATAGATTTTGCTGCTAAATATGGTAATTATTCAAGCGTCTTTTCGTATCCAATGTCAAATTTGCAATATAATTTGTTTGTGTTAACGTCCTACATCAATTAAATAATTTAGTCCTAAACTTAATTACATTTTGTTAAAAGTTCGGTCAGAAAAGAAATACTTCACAACGACTATACCTATTTACAGAATAGAGTAAAATGAAATAATGATTTTCACTTAGAGGTAGAGTTCGCTACCACGCGTGAATACGTTTTTGCTAAAATATATTAGTTCTTTACTGCAATCTGTGAGTAACAAAGCTTCAGAGTACCTACAAACAATACACTTTGATTCCTAACGTATTTTTTTGTTTTTGAGGAAGAATTTATTCGGATAAAAGTTATCGACTATCTTGACTTTCTATCATTTTTATATTATATTACTCTTTTAGCTACAACATGATTCAAAACATGGAATGAAATGGCAAAGGATTCTTATTCTATCCGAACATGTGTTTACATACAATAATTATTAACAATATATTCTAGAAGTGTCGTCTACTTTTTCGGCTAAATAAGTCAATTTACACATTACAGGGTTGGCATACGATTTGAAAACAGTATCCGCAGAGATGATAAGAAAGCGAGTTCGAAGGACTGGGGACGGTTCCCACCCCTATGGCCACCAGAGCAAGGACGTCCACGACCATAATCACCCTGAAAATCCTGTCTGGGGCTGGGATGATACAGATATGCCAGACGAAGATCGAAAATGTGCTGAAATTGCTCACAAATTAGACTGAACACAGAACTAAACTATATACTGTTAAACAGGTTTAAGATTAATTTGTAGAAGTTTAAAAATAAATGTGTATAGTGTAAATACGGCCGCTTAATCTCTCATGGCTATACGTGAATTACACAAACAAAGCTTAGTACGAAACTGGACTACTCTCTTGTTAACACAAATTAAACCCACAGTAATTTTCATGTTTATTTTAACTTAACGTCTTTAGTGAAACGTAATAAATGAAAACATCTTTTCACGGAATGACGAGGCATCATTAAACAATGGACATGACATTGTTATGCATATTTTTTAAATTCAATTATAAATTGAATTAACTGTATCTGTCTTGATTTTATTACTTACATGATACTGGTCATAATGTGTTATAGGTTCCTTGAAAAATTGTGGGTTTCATTAAATGTGGTTGTGTTTGTTATTCTAATTAAGTTTTTTTTGTGATAAATATTTTACAAGGATTTCTTCCTGTATACTCTTATAAGCAATCAAGAGTTGGTGTACTGTAGTCAATTATATTTATTTATTGTTAATTTAATTTCAAAAATTATAATTAACTGTACTTCTTTAAACTTCTATAGGGCTGATAATTTTTAAGATAGTAGAAGTGAATTATTTCTTTTTGAGGGGTTTTGAAATAAAACATATATTATTTCCACTTTCATTTATTGATATAAACACTAACTTATTTTTACTTTTTCTGACATGGACATTCCAACAAGATCGAAACAATTCACAGTAAAAATGTATATTAATTTTTTTGTCCATTATACCTACTGGAAATGCTATGGTGTGAACCCTTCTAAATCATCTGATGATTCTTAAAAACTAATCTGGGTAAGTTTTAAGTTAATATTAACTACAATAAGAAAACAAAGTTTTCATCACGCAAGTATAAATAAATCAGTCTTGATGGTTTTAATAATAAAATGTACTTTTACTAATTGTAAGACAGTACAAGTACATATATAGGAGTTAGTTGCTTATAAATGTAAAGAAAAAGTAATCTAGCAATAATAACTTTAGAATAAATAATATTTTAATTTAGAAGGCAAGTTATATAATAGGTGGCCAGTTCGCATTGGGTTTCCTCCAGTCAGGTACCTCTCCAATAATTTGTACATTCTTCACTTTTCCCGTATTATCAGTGTTTTTTAGCCATTCGAAATTAAATGGTGAGGAAATACCAGTATTAGGGTCTATTCCCACGAGATGATAGTCTTTTACATCGTGGGTCACTTCTGTGCTGTGTTGGGTTTCAAAGTTAGGTCCCGCTACATCATCAACGTTTTCTGACGGAGCTACTATTATTGGATCGTATTTATGCTTCCCATACCCTGCATTAATATAAATAACTCTCTTAGGATAGTGATGATCATTGAAAGCATTGTTTCTTAAAAGTGTGAAAATTGCTCCTGTCAGCGCCATTTTATTTAGCATCATGGTAGCCATAGTTGCCATCTTGAGTGTGGGCAAGAAAAATGGAAAACTTGCAGACAAAACGAGGCCAGGGAGGATAAGTATTGGCAAGACCTTATAGAACAATTCCATCATTTTCTTCATGCTGGTTCGGGCTGTGTTTACGTCTTTATCTGTAATTAAAAAAAATATAAATTAAATATGATTATTTCACAAGTATTGGATATAACACAAGTCCTTCCATATTTACATGACTGCCTCTGACGTTAAATGGTTTGTTAAATGCAGTATACATGTATGCATGCCTATCAAAGCATTATTCGCAAAAGTTCTGGTAACCGGGAAATGTCATTTGTATTATTTTTATTTGAAATCGGACGGGACACAAAAGATTACCTACTTGTTTGTTGTTTGTAAAGAAAACTTATAAGAGCAACAATCTTGGAAACATCTCTGCCCCTTGCCGACAAGGGTAAAATGGAATTTTACTTTTGTTGTCCACATATACGTCATTCAGAATCAATTCAATTTATTCATAAATTGTTGTCAGTCAAATTTTTTTAATAAATATGAAAACGTATATCATATCTAACATTACTAGGAGTAAGTAGAAAACTATTTAAAAATACAGTTTATGGTAGGTAAATATAATATATATTTACCTACATAACTTAGTAGATTCCTTTATTCGTAGAAGCTAAAGTTTTGTTTTTTTTTTCATTTAAATAGTAGTTTAACTACTTACTATAATAATTAATTCACTTCCGTTACAGGTAAGTGACCGCTATTATGTCATTGGAAACAAAAAAATAGAAATTCGCTGTTGCTATATTTCCCTTTTTACAATTATACATATTTATAATGAATATGGGTACACTTGACCTATTTTTTTGCATATAATATATTAGTTACTCACTTTCTATAATATCGAAATTCAGCGAATTATTTCCCGTAGACATCATTTTAACCACATAACGTTCACCAAGACTCATGGTTAGAGGGCGAATCCGAAGCAACTCCTCCGTGTCTTGGCACAGTCTTGCATAAAGCTCTTCATCAGTTTGATTTACATATTTGAGCCACTTGAAAGATTCCTTCTGATTTTCGTGCTTTAGAGCACGTTCCGCCTTCCAAATACCGAAAGCGGTTATACACTTTTCAAAACCTAAGGTTTTAGCACAGACTAAGGAATCACTTAATATAGTACTTTTATCGCGATCTGCGCTTGCGCATGGCCAAGTTGTGGCCGCGAAAAAGAAAATTGCGTCGATAGCACGCATAGCTGTAAACAGACTGAGCGCAGTTGCCATGTTAGCCTGGCATTCCCCTCTCTTTAATATCAGTTCGATATTAAACAACCATTTTTGTTTCAATAAACCTAAGTTGTTACAGTTGAAGAAAATGAAAGCTAGAGCAGGAACCGTTAAGCATTGTAAATAGGTAACATAACAGTGTTTTCTTTATCAACTTCGCTGTAAAAAGTCAATTTCCTTTCTAATAAAATATATGCAATCAACACGTAATTCGTATTCTAATCGTTTTTATTCATGTAATTGGGTGTTACTTCAAAGTTTAAAATTATCTCATGTTACCGAAAAAAGAGATTATATTAATAATGACATACGATACAAGAGTGACAACAATATAAACTGTAGAAAATATCGTAATTACATTGCGTGAGAAATGCATCTGTAAATGAAATTATTAAAAATCGATAATAATATATCTTTATATAACGCAGTTGCTCAAATGTAGCATGGGTTCGTCGGGTCCTGCCTTTGTCATAAGTTAAAATCTAAATGAAATCTAGAGCACTTGTCTAATGAAATCTAAATCACACTCGTGTTATCTTCGTGTAAATTTTTAAAACCTCCTAAAAGCCACTTTCTCGGGCGAAAGGACTTCACGAATATTATTTGCATACATGCATACTGACAGACGAAATTGTATGCATTTCTTTAAACATGTAAAATTTAAACGCTGGAAATCGCTTTAGCTGCTGAATAAAATTTTGAGGGAAAGTTCACATTCTTTCGATGGCAGGAAACGGCCTATATATTCTCAAATGCAGTGGCAATTAGCATAAGCACTGTCACGGACGAACGACGAGGCTTGGTCAACGAACTAGGTTTCTCTACGTGACGCGAATATCGTATTTATGCGTCTCTTGCACGCGTCTTATAATAACTAATTATATTGTTACGTGTTTATCAATTAACGTCGACTATCTTTCTTCCTTTCTTATATGTCACAGAAGGACAGACCAGAATAGTGTTTTTTAATAGAAGCTACAGCCAAATAAGATGCTCAGTCAACCTTTTTTGGATCTAAACCTTTGCCAATCTACAGATGGAAGCCAAAACGCAGATTCGCACTTTACCGCTACTCTATTATAACGAAATATAATATTTCCTTCCACCCTCTGCATATCCAGAATTACTAGACGACGTGTTTCATTAAGGATATGAACCTTAAATGACCTATAGTACTGGTAACATTACAGGCTCCAACTACACCGTCCCGTTCAATACGGGCGGGGGGGGGGGGGGGGGGGGGGGGGAAAAAACCCCCAAGGGGGGGGGGGGGGGAAAAAAAAATTTTTAAAAAAAATTTAAAAAAATATTTGGGTTTTTAACCCGTTAAGGGGTTTTTTTTAATTTTGGATTTGAACCTTTTTTGTTTTTTTCTGGTAAACCAGGCTGCCAACTACACCGTCCCCGTCAATACGGGCTGGAGAAGGCCGCGAAACGTTCTCCAGGACAATGACTTAACGAAAGCCGTCGATACACTTGTCACGACGCGATTCACTTGCTCCGCGTACCACTCACCCGGGTGAGCTTCCGTCCAGCTCTTCAAGCTCCCACGGTTCGGTCCAAGCCGAGGTCGACGCCCCCCCCTTGGGCACCCCTAACCCTAGCCGCAAACACGGCTCGCCCAAACGTGCGATTAGTATTCGAGACACCGGGCTCAGTACATTATAATCAATATAATATGTATAAAAAACTTGATACATTTTACAAAATTTGATATAAGAAACTCGCTACAACGTAAAAGAATATATACATCATAAGAAGTTTGGCTCATTTGGTGATTCTGTCAGGGTTATATCATAAAAGTTACCTGTATAACCTCTAAACAAATAAAAAAAAACCCCAAAACAAAAAAAAAACTTACTTTTTATACTACCCGTGTAGATTAGCACTGATTATTATTGAGTAGAAAGTAGTAAACAAAAACCAGATATTTTAATGTGTTACACAAAAACTCATAATTATAATTTCATTCCATATAGACATAGAATTGTCCATCAGGAATCTTACGTAAGAATTTTATTTACATATTTTGTAACTATACAGTAGGCTTCCGCTAATATATATTAAACATTGATCGTGTCGGTAAATTTTTAAAACTGTAGTATTTATTAACACTTGAGAGAACTAGATTTTGAAACGCCACCTTTGCTCAAAGCCTTCTAATGAAACTGGTACGTAGTTTTGCATCCCACTTGAACAAAATATGATAGACAAAATAGTTTTAGCCTTTTAAGATAGAAGTCTGATTAGTTAGTAGCCGGTAAATAAATACCAGTATGCCTATAGTAAATAAAGAACTATTCAACTGCTTAGAAATATTATTACATATATTTAAAAAACGAATCAACTAAAATAGATAACACGACTAACGTAAATTGTGTAAGGCTTTCACGGCCATCATTCAGGATATCATTGTGTTTCGGGCTGCTAAATTAATTCTTCGAGCAATCGAGGAGCTAACAACATCTCTTGATGATACCGTCCGCTCGTGATGGCGAAACGTGGAGAACCTCTTTTCGGTTGCGTCGGCCGAACAGGCCGAAAATCAATGATATGACAACTAAAGTATATGCAATTTTAAAACAGCCAATTAAATAAGTGGTAAACAGTTAAGCGTAAAATTCGTTTAAAAGTGTTTCAATGAGTTATAAAAGTATGGATTTGGCGATCCATCTGAGCGCAACGCACTGTTATATGTTACAACTTCCTGCATTGTATATCAATGTCAGTAATTAAAGTCTGATATTTGAAGGTGCTACTATCACTTTCACGACTACGTGCAATGATAACAATCAGAGGATATGCAGGTACACCGTTAATGACGCGACATTAGTCCTTAAAAGAGTGTCGATATCGGGGTCGAAATTTCTATGGCACGATCACGTTGTCCATCGCTTTCTTTTCGATTTGATTTCGTCCATTGTCTTCCGTAGGACACTTTATATCCTTCCAATCGATCATATAGTGACCAGTCAAACCTGATCGCTCGAGTAATAATCATCTTTTTTTCATTAAAGAAAATGAGTAAAATGTTCGGCGTTCTAAGTCTGGCGTATGTCGCCGTTTTCGCGTTTGCTGTGGTTAGTTGTGAGGATGTGACAGAAAAGGAATTTGTGGATTATTTGAATACAGGTATAGGACGTAATGTTATTATTTTCTAGGTGATAAAATCTAATTTTAACTGAAACAAGTCTCACTTGTCAACGTCGAATTTCCCCATTATTCACCGCTGTCACGATGTAATTTCAACTTTAACACTTACAATTTTAGGTTCAACTTAAGAACCGTAGAGATGAAGAGGTTTTCATCTTTCTCCTAAAGTTTTACTTTGGTTTTTTAATGTTACATAAGAGTTTTAAATTTCACATTAAAAGGAAAAGCTTTGAGACAGAAGTAAAAGTGCAGTAGACAATTTGACGGAGTATTAAAGAATAACTTTTCTGCACTCTGTAGGAATTTCACAGTGGTTGTTTCAAATGATGAAAAAATGTGTTAATATTTTTATTTTAGGGCGGAATTACGAACCAACACCTAAAATAATGTGTGATAGGACATCCCCTTGATTTATTGTTTTTCCACAGATAATGGCGTCGGCAGAACGTTTGGCCACAATGCTCTTAAGAGATTGTCGTTTATCTTTTTACCGGTGATGTTCACACTTGGTGTCATCTCCACTTTACTAATGGCTCTTGCCGTCATTTCCGTCAAGAATCTCGCCATCGGAGTCATGCTTCTCATAGTTGCTGTTAGCCAGGTACTTGAATCAGGCGTTCTTAGAATACCTTACGTAGCCAAAAACATTCTTATAATTCGAATTAATAATATTTTATACTATATAACTAGTAATGTAAAAAGTAATGAGAGCAATGTATGGTTTGTTAACGCTCGTGGTCGAACCCCACCGGGTCCAACATATTTCTAGTGATTTTTTTTTGAAACATATAGGACCTCATGGAAATTTCGATATTAAATGGGTGGTAGGAATATCAAAAACCCCGTCCGGGTCACGAATCAGCGTCCACAGATGAAAAAGTCGCTGAAAAAGTGAAGTTCAATCGCGTGTCGGTTTCAGTCTGTGGACTTCCAAGTAGTTTAAGGCAAAATAGGTCGACAGAGTTTCTAGTATAGATATTATATGGTTGGGGTATGATCTCACCATAAATATAACCGTGCATGTCTGCCCTCCTCTAAAAAAAATAATACATAACATTTCAAAAATATTCTAATCACTATACATAAAAGTGAAGTGTAAATGTGTACTTTGTTCTAAATCTTAGTTATTTGAATATTTTTCTTTCTTTCCAGGCTGTATCTCGGCTGTTTTCGGCAGCAGCACCTGCACCATTAGTTTTTCATCCTCGAGCTGAAGTAATACCACCAGCGCTTCCCGCCCCCTGGCCTGTAAACGGGCCCCTTCTATCACCATGGGCTAGATCTGACAACGAAGCTGTAATTTCGGACTAAACATTACAAACTATATATATAATTGTATCAATGCGCTGTCTAGATTGTAATAACTTGCATTTATTGGTTATGCCGGTTGTATATGCGAAGCAATATATCAAACGCCAGGCATTACCATCTTTGTCCGTTTCTCACGAAGCTGGTGGAAGACAGACGACGATAATTAGTTTTTAATATTTATTTTCACAGAACAGACATTAAACGAATAATTAAAATAAGTTCATGTCGTTCTTTATTTCTATATACAACAACCATCCTCTCTCCAAAACGGTTAAAAAAGATAAGTCGTAGTTCACCTTTTAAAATTTTATAATTATTTTCATTTCCTTATATTAAATTTAAGGTGCATTTAAAAAGGCTTATATAATAATTATAGTGGGTAATTAAAAGACGTCATAAAATTTCTCACTTTCCATTATTAACTCATCACAATTACTTTATTAATGACAATGTCTTATGTCAACGCCCGTAATATACTTTTCATTCAAAAGAATACATATATGTAAGAGAGTGTGATATATAGACACAAACTATTATGGTCTTACAGAGCGTTTTGTGACCAACTTAGTACAAGCAATAAGCAATTTTAAATCAGACAGTCATAACAACAGTCTCTTACGCATTAAAAGAGCAAAACAGATTTTTTTATAGTACTATAATACTGATTTCTAAATAGAAAAGTTTACATACTTGAAAGACAATAAGCTATTTTGGTCATAATAGCAATTTGCCGACAGGTTAGTGCACCATTTTCGTGATCTAAAACAATCTTATGGAAATTAATTATATGTAGGTAGTTTCAAATAGCACAGGATATTTTTTTTAGTTAGAGGAGGACAGACAGCCATGGGGTACACTAGATGTATGTATACATATTTAGCTTTGGATGTTCAGAACAAGTCTTAAATCTTTTAAAAATGTAACGGACACCATAACAACAGTCTCTTTTGTAGAAAACAGGGGGCCATATTTATAAGTATATAGATTTTTAAATGGCATGCATGGACTTGAGTAAGAGAAATGGGTAATTATGGTCTTAAGTAGCGATTTGCGACCACGTTGGTATTTGAATGTGAAGATATTTTCTGCGTATCCCGCATCACACGCTCTGATTCCTGCACGATATCAAATGTCTTTGTTCTCAATCGAACGGTAATATTCTTACAAAAGGACTGACAACCTGAGACAACAGCGAGAGTTTACTTTACAAAAGTTTTCTTAGCTCCAGAACATTTATATTTCGGCAAAAAAATAGATAAGACCATAGACGATATTTGTGAATCACTAATTTCTTCCTTTTTTTAATCTATGGGAAAGATATAACGCTGCATTTACAATTGCGCTTAGCGATCAATGGAGTAGATAAGTAACAATTTCTAACCAGTTTAGTGCAAGTTGTACTAAATATAGGTAAAAGCTACCCTATGATCCACGATATCCAATACTCGAGTCTAGTCTTGTAAAAGAGAAATTTTGCATTGCTTGACTCAATAGTACCTACTTTAAAAACGTATTTTTACATGCTATTGCACATTATGGGATTGTATAAATTAAAAATAGATTTTAGATGCAAGAAATGTACGGCTGAGCACAGCTGTGGATGTCGGTTCATTTCCTGCCCGTGTCGTAATTTTTTTTTTAATCCAAAGACGATTTCTAATTAGCATTTTATTAAAATACATTGCGTAATTAAATACTGACTTTTAATTTCGATCCCTTCAATATATTTATCCGTTTATTTCTGTTACAATCAATTTAAATGACACAATGCATTCTCAAGTTATTTTCGGCTATGGTATATAAATAAAGCCTAGACACAAATCATATATCACAGTTTAAAAAATCTTCTTTAGGTAAGTATACCTTCTGTTCTAAGTATATATAATTTTATTATAATGAATAAATATCTTTCCTGATTCCTATCCAATAAACGCATATACATATAATTCATGCATAGTTTACTTTTCCAAGCGTCAATGAACTTCATCGCCAGGGTGGTAGGTAAACTATCGCAAGAGAGGGGCGACCACACCAACATTGGTACGGTAGACGCTATAATGAACGGACAGCACGCGCTTTTTATTTTTTTAATATTTATTTTCACCACTTCGTTCAATGTGTCCTGCGATTCGGGTGAGAATGTTCCGCAAATGAAGAGATTTGAGCTATACGATGGTGTATATGTGAAGATACCCAAAGATAACAACACGAGCAACTTGGTCTCTTTTGAAATAGATCTAGATAGAAATGTGGAAACCGGTAAGTTATTTGAAGCTTGTCTGTTATTTCTTTGAACTTTTGTCAAGGAATTCTTTGACAGTTCACGCATTCCTAGAATGGTTGAATTAGATTCTCCTTGTACATGTTAAGTGAAAATACAGACGTAGTATTTATAAGTAACAATATTAAGAATCGAATATCTAAAGCCAAAGTTACGTCCCATGCTTGTCTGTTCTCCTCTATCATAAAAAAGAGATTCAAATCTGTTAGGTTCGTGTCACCCAATGTAGTGTGTAAAGCGAAATCTCGACTTCCCTACGAGGCGATTAGGACGGATTTCTGTGTCTGTTTCATTGATCAATTGGTATTCCTAGGCAGTGTTTGATCCTGGAAACTCTCGCATCAAACACAGTACAACCATTAAGTCGTGGAGGTGTTATATTTTGACGGGAACATCAAATAAACGCATTAAATAGCACAATTAGTTTTCTCTTTACCAGACAATTTCCATTATCAATATCTACGTGAATCGACTAATCTTCTTATAAGCTAAGCCGATTATCTAATGACACAGGCGTATTCTAACAAGAAGAAAAATGTATATTTATTTTTAAAAGTAAACTTTAATGCCCTATTTTGCATAAGGAAAAGATGATATAGATAATTTTATTAGATATATTCCGCGCACTGTTTGGGTGAAAGAATGTATTGGGTTCGTGAGCAGGATATAGAATAAATATAAAGTGTAGGTCACTTTCGCATTTTGCCATTCAAATATCGCCCTTCTCGTAGAAAACGTATATACTATCAGTCTGTAAAATTGATAACAAAACTACATATTTTCCGTAAATATTTACTTTAAAAATAGACCCCTATTATTAGAGTAAATATTTGGAAAGAAAGTTGAAAACATTTAATTGAACGGGGTTCCTGGTTAAGTTATAATCTTTCCATTTGAATTGATAATTTTCCAATGTATTTAAAAAATAACTTTGGGCAACATAGTAATTGTTCAACAAAAATAACATATTATGTATTTAAATTAAAAAGATATATATACAATATCTTTTTACTGCATTTTTTATTTAATGTCACTACCTGCGGCGAAAATAACTACTTGAATTCAGGAAATACCTTTTGCTATGGCATCAGGTTTCAATGAAACAGCATTTATGTTGCCTGAAGTTACGCAAATATAAAAATTAAATTATTTACTATCTTTGAATAAGATCAACAATAGCCCCAGTTGTATTTGGGATTATCAATCAAGAATATTCTATGGTTACAAATATTATAGATATAATCTATTCCATGTAACCAGCCTGATGTTCTATTAAAAGTTTTTTTTCTTATACCAATTATAGTCGAAGCGTTAATATTTATCTTTCTTATTTCTTTTTTATCTCTCTTTCATTTCTCTTGACTTAGACCTCAAGCTCTTTCTAATAGGCTGAACTATTTTATCATTCCAAATGCATTTAAAAATTATTTTCAAGTTGAATTCGATATATTTATTCATTTGTCTACTTTATACCCTAAACTGGTCATAATTTTATCCTTTGATCTATTGAAATCGTCTTAAAGTACTTCCTTTTTTCAGGTCGAAAAAAACAAAAGAAGATGCTGGAGAAAATTCTACCGATGATGGCGCTACCGTTCCTCGTACAGTCTTTGATCGTGCCTATATTCCTCGGCGTGATAAAGTTTATGCTATTCAAGTCACTTATGATTGGTAAACTTGCTTTAGTTCTGATCATCATTAATGCATTTAGGAATAGCAATAGTCTAAAGGGAAGAGATGCAGATATCGCCTCGATAAGCTACGGTTATGGTGGTCATGATGACTTCGGGGGCTATAGGTATAAATAGTAAATGAAGTTTGTAATAAATAAGATAAACAATGTGGATGAATGATATACTTGTTACTTGTCAGAAATAGCTTATCTTAAAATAGCGTACGAGCTAAACATTTCTAAATTAAACTAAGGATAGATTAAAAATGATTCAAAACTTTTCGACAACCAAAGCGTATGGGATAAAATGAAATGTTGATGATATTGAACTTACACATCGCTAAAATACGTTTATATGTCAATCCCATACATTATGACGTTATTGTTTTGTTTTTGTTTAATGTATGTTTTAACTTCAACAATGGGAATGATGTCTAATTTATGATTGTTTTTATTTTTTTAAACCGACCTACAGATTTACAGACAATTATTATACGGCTTACCTCCATATATATACAGATGGTATACAAAAAAATATATCATAATTACTGGATAATTTTAATGTAATTAATTTTCAAGCGTCTTTACGCTAGCAAATTATGTATCACCCGATGTATGTATACAATATTTTCCAGGAAACGTAGGAAATCTGAATGTTTGCCAACGTTTCCGGGAAAATATTAGAAAATAGGTGGTACTCATTAGCTCTAAAGTACACTTTTGAAAATGCTTAAGAATTGAATTTAAATTATTTCTTCTGCAATAATTTATATTAGTAATTATTTATTTTAAATTTAACTTATCGTTGTACCAAAAATTAAAAGTGTAGTATTGTTCATGAATTAAATTATTACAAACAGTTTTACCGCCTATTTATTTAATGCAAAAATGATTTTCAACTGATTTTAGAAGTTTGTGCCTTGCAAGTATAAAGCACGTATAACTCTGAAACAAAAAGAATATGACTTCCTAGTTATATAGTAGTAGTTTTGACGGTTTAAAACCTGCCATTTTTTTATTTTCGAATATGATGATTTCATTTTTTTTTAATTCTTATAAATGTATAAAAAAAAAAAAGAATGATGCTTAATATGACATTAATTTTCAATCGAAACATAGCTTCGCTGACGAATCTGTCAAAAGCATATGAGAAATGTTATTTATTACCAACTACTAAAATACTCTCTAAAACCTATAGAAAATTTACCTAATGTCATATTAGGTATATTTTAGGCGTTTTACCACGACGCCGTTAATCTCTAGCACTGATTAAATTTTAATTAATTGTTTACTAGAGTATGTTTATGAACATTTTATAATTTATCTCAGTAGCAAAAATTCAATCTTTCTGTAACTATTTTTTACAATACTGATTAACTTTATGTAGGCTAAAACCTTGATGGCGACGAAGATTCTTAATTAAGTTTTGTAATCATGGAGCATAGCAGATTTGGTTAAATCAAGTAATTAATGGTTATTATCTTAAAAAATAGGATTGAGCAATGGGAATATGTGTTTGTACAGTTTTGGATTTTTTTGGGATATAATAATACAAACCGACATAACCACTAGCGCAGCTAAATTATAATATTTAATACCTACGTTAAAAAAATTAAATCGTGTAGACCTCGATTATATATTGTCTTATTCATAAGTTTAATATCGTTACGTAACAAATAATAAACTAACCTGCACGGCAATTAAGCGTTTTGAATGGAATAATTCCCACAACAACACAATTAATGACAAAAATGAATTATAGATTTCATGATTTATAATTTAAACATAACCAGATGAGGGTGATATGCACAGTACGCTATTCACACTGCCTCTAGAATGTTATGTAAATATTAACCGCAACAATCATTCGTCAGTTCTAAGTTACAAAATCCACAACAAGTGAAAACAGACGTAGTTACGTTTCTTTTTAGATCATTGCATTTGTCGCTCGTGCTCTGTCAACTGTAATTCGTACAGCTGTTTAAGTGAAATCGAGAAACGAGGGTGAGTCCTGGTTACTTAAGTACCCAAATTGTTATTTTACATTCACCTACATTTACTCATTAAATAATTAGAATATGCCTTGAAGTTCAAATAATAAATATCCCCTATGTAATAGGGTATTATATATTTTATGCGTTACCGAAGTCTATGATAAAAACTACGTTTAGCAGGCTAGGTTATTAATTGATAGCTTTGTTTAATAATGAAAGCAAATTTATTATTGCGTAACATGCAATGATTCTATATCGTAACCATCTATCGATCGACATAACTTCACATATACCACACTGAATAAAAACAACACATATACCACAAAAAATAAAAAAAAACTGAATTTACTTTTAAGAACGTTTATTACAGGTTTTTTGTTGTAACCTTCTTGTCCTTCAGTAGATTAACAATACGCCACTATGTGTTGGTAATTAAGTAACTATGTTTGTCTATTATGTAACAACTCTATACTCAATAATTAAACTATAAAACAACTGTTCAGTTCTTACGTAGTAGTAGGTAGTCATAACTATTTTTAACGTTTAGATAATCTTATCGAGAGAAAACTTTATCTTATATTTGAGATTAGTTGATATTGAATTTGATTCCCTTAAATTGAGTGCACCTATAAAAAGTGAGTAATATTTGATTAATTAATACTCGTATAGGTAGCTATAGCTTAGTATAGTACCTTTCTTTATAAATACCGTTTTACTGTGTGGTTTTAAGTAAACGTGGAACGTTTTGTAAAAACCACAAGATACCCACGAAATAGATTTTTGATTTTTTTTATTCACTGAGTATGAGACTCCAACCACTATGACCTTTCTGTTGGTGAGCCTCTACCAGGGAGGAAGGTGGTAATACACTAAAAATAACCTCAAACGGCCGCCATTACGGCATGACCCGGTATCGTACTTTGCCATTCTTTTCGGAGACTAACCTGCGATATGGATAGACCTTAGCAATACGTTTATATTTTTTTACTCTAATTCTGCAAAGAGTATCTGAAACATACCGTAAATTTTTTGTAGATGAGGGCAAAGCTTCAAAAATGGAAGTCGTCTTATATAATAGTAGCCATAGTAGCATTTAGCCTGTTTCACACAGCTCTTGCACTTGAAAATACAATCAAGGGCGCTACAAATGAAAACATACTGGAGAGAAGTATTAAGGAAAATGATGTAAGTTAAAATGCATTTAATTAATAATGTGCGATGTGTACGAATATTTTACAAAACTGTGGTAGATTTTTTAAGGCGGGCTTCCTTGGAAACGTAATCTCAAGACCGAGCTGCGTAGGTATAACGTAGGATAACATTAAAAAAAATCTCTTATGCGAAATTTACAGGTCATAAATTACAGATTGTCAAGGAATGTAAAACCTTTAAATTATAAATTAATGCTATGGCCCGATTTAAAGGAGAAAACTTATCAAGGGCAGGTGGCTATTAAACTTTCTGTAACAGAACCCACCAAAGTTGTCGAAGTGCATAAAAAACATCTATTGATACAAATTATGACTTTAAAAAACGCTAAGGGTGAAAATGTAGTAATTAATAACAATAACACTGATGAAACAAGAGAAGTGTTTCGTATGGAATTTAACGATGAATTGCCTCAAGGCGATTATGAGTTAACTCTCAATTTCACCGGAAAGCTTGATAACGGAATTGTTGGCTTTTATGAAAGTACAATTCGAAATGGCAAGTAAGTAAACTAGTATATAACATTTAGATAGTTAAGAGCTTAATCCGAAATCATAATTGTGGTTAGCAAACAACTTGAGTAATAAACAAATTTTCCCCGTTTATACGTGTAAGGGCAAAATATACTTTAAAAGCAACACATAGTGCAGCAATTTAGACAAGAATCAATTTTATATTCTTATTTTATATATATATGATATTCTGTTCGGTTTTTTTATGAAATTAAACTCATAAACGCACAAAACTGTAATCTACCAGGGTTACCTAGTCAAATTAAAAATAATTTGTTTATGACATTAACATTCATACGATGTTATAATGTCAAGCTGTCAAATGTCAATATAACTTTTAGATTGTCATCGGACCTTATGTTTATTTATTACATAAATAATATTTAATTTATTACCTGATTTCCTTCAAAATTGTGCTAATTACATACTTTGTGATATACTTATTCAAAGTGCATCTTTAAATGTATAAGAAAAATAGTCTTAGTTTTATTAAATAGATGTATCTAATCCTATGTCCATAAAAAATATTCTTCGGTTACCGGTAGAACAGTTAATTAAAATTAATAAACTGTGTCGACTTGCTTTCAATTTTCTAAATATCATGGAAACATCAAAAATAAAGTTATCAGAGAGACTGTCGCAGTCAGTTAGACCTGTTCATTATAAATTAAAACTGCAGCCTGAATGTGATTCAGGTAAATTTAGTGGCGTAGTAAGCATTAATCTTGTTGTCCAGAATTCTTGTGACAACTTGTCTCTACATACAAATTTCCTTGATATAAGGGATGTGAAATTATACAGGGGTCTAAATGAACTGCCAATACAAAAATATTTTGAAGTGAAATCCTTAGAACAGTTGTACATTCAGTTAGATGAAAAAATCAATGCTGGCAGTTATGAATTAAAAATTGATTTCTGTGGCGACTTAACCAGGAATATTGTAGGTTTTTATTTATCTCGACTGAAAGATGGAGGGTAAATATAATGAAAAAGTTTGCTTTCAGATTATTGGTAATGTATTAAGAATATGTATGTAATGTATTCGTAACAAATGTTATGGTTTTTTCCAGCACCATGGTGGCAAGTAAGTTCCAACCTACTTATGCACGACAAGCATTTCCATGCTTTGATGAACCAGATTTTAAAGCAACATATGATATTACTCTTGTGAAGCCTGTTGAATATGTGGCATTATCGAACATGAATGTAAGATATAGTTGAAATGTATGACTAAGAAGTTTTAATAGACTTTGTCACTGTCAAAATCATCTCCTGCTAATTTTAAATATTGGTTTCTTAAAAGTATTATGTGAGTTTCAGTTTTAAATACTTTTATTATCTATTTTCCAGGAAGTTTCGAAGACACATGATCAGAAAAGTAATACAGAAGCTGTTACATTTGCAACTAGTGTTCCAATGTCAACCTATTTAGCATGTTTTGTTGTTTGTAACTTTGATTTTAAAGAAACTATAATAAACGCAAATGGTATTGGTAAGAATTTCACCTTGAGGTCATTTGCTCAAAAGCAACAAACACACAAAATTGACTTTGCTCAAGATATTGGGAAACGTGCTACAGAATACTATATTCAATACTATGAGGTGCCATTTCCACTGCCAAAACTTGGTATGAATTTAATATAACATTATTAAGTAAATAAAAAATACATAACATGTTAAGTGGAAAATCATAATGTCCTTATGTTGTGCAGTCAAGTATCTATATCTGTTTTATTGATAAAATTCTCATCAGGCAAGGCAAGGGGCCCAAATATTTTTATTTTTGGAGACACTAATTAAAGGCTCGGAGATGATCAGTGCAAAATATTGGCCTTTAAACCCAATCCCATCTTAACCAGATTCTGCAGGAGATATTAGCCAGCATAGAATACTTTAAAACTTATTTCTTCTTCAGGTCCTTTAATTGGCCTTACCATGTCTTTCTGGTATTCGAATCCAGGTCAATTCAAATTCCTCATACACGAAAAATAATGCTAGACAACAGATATTAAAACTGTACACATTTCTTATTGTTACAGATATGATAGCGATTCCAGACTATGTATCAGGAGCCACTGAGCATTGGGGTCTGATTACATATAGAGAAACATCATTCCTAGTAGATGAAGCAACAGCGTCATCTCAAAATAAAATCAGTGTAGCCAATACAATTGCTCATGAGTTAGCTCATATGTGGTTTGGAAATTTAGGTGATTTTATTATTATTCAAACTCACTAGTGTAAGAAACAAACATGATGTGTTAAAATTTTTAAATTTGCTACTCAATATCGTTCTAGCATTGCATAGCTCAACTTTATCCAGCTGTAAATATTAATAATGCAATACATTTCTATATGAACCACAGATGGTCAGACAAACTTTAAAACCTATCTTAAAGTTAATTTAGTTAAGTTAGTTGAATATTCCTCTTTCAGTTACCATGAAGTGGTGGGATGAAGTCTGGTTAAATGAAGGATTTGCTTCCTATATGCAAGTGAAAGCCTTAAATGCCATAGAACCATCTTGGACAATGGTAAAAATAGATCCTTATAAAATTATAATAAAATCAAAATCAAATAAAAAACGAATAACGTATGGTTGCTTTGTAGTTGGACCAGTTCTTGACGAGAACACTTCATTCTGTTTTGGTGACTGATGCAAAATTATCTAGTCATCCTATAGTCCAAACAGTAGAGACTCCTGATCAAATTACTGCCATTTTCGACTCCATTTCATACAATAAGGTGAGGATTTTATTTTATTTATAAATTACAAAATGACAACATATATGGATAACTAATAATTCAGTGCATTGTTTATTTATTTGTAATTTTAATTTGAGAAAGCAGATAGGCGGGTAGTTGTAAATGGTTTATATTTTTAATTTCATTTATCTATATTACTTTAGAAATTGTACGGTGTTAGTTTAATGTAATGAAATAAATTATAGTGTTTTTTATTTGGGTGTACTTCCGAAAAGCGCATACCGCCGATCGATCTGAAATTTGGTATACTTATGTATTTTGACCTCCTAATCACGAATATCATAACGAAAATTAGCGAACACGCCATTTTGAATATGAAAATCGAAAAAACCTCTTTCCGTTCAGTGTGCCTAATCAAAAAATTTTCACGAAATGGAATTACTACAGCGGGAAATATTCCCAGGTCGATTAGGAAAACAAAAAACCACTCGAGAATTAGGCTACTATAGCGGGAATAGATCTCAAGTCTATCGACAAAAGCGGCAAATATTTCCATAGACCGACTATTACAGTAAAAAACATTCACGGAGTTCGACTAATATAAAGAAAAATATTATTTTATTTTAATATATTAGAAAATTTTATGTAAGGCAGTTCTATGTTTAATTGCTAATTCTGACATCTACAGGGTGCATCTGTTTTAAGGATGTTGGAAGGTTTTATTGGAGAAGAGAATTTCCGCCAAGGAGTTTCAGATTATTTGAAGAAATATGAATTTGGTAACACTGTCACACAGGACTTGTTATCTTCCTTGGAACCGTATTTTGTAAAGCGTAATAGCGGTCTGAACCTCAAGTAAGTAATTTTTAATAAACGCCAACTGTGCCCGCGACTTAGTCCACGTGTAATTGTTATTTTGGACATCAAATTTATTTTTGCAAACAATCTCCTCAGCGTTTAAAATTCTAGCGACGTCCACTCATGACGTCGTCCGCGTCCCGTCGTTCTTAAAAAAAAGACACTGTCGCTGACTTTTTTGTAGATCATTCAAAGAGGAATAATTCCTTATACAAATAATTTTGGGTTTATAAACAGTTTACTTAAAAATTATCCCCGATTTTTCCCTTCTTCGCTCTTGTCGGTCGCAGCGTGATAAAGCAAATCAATAATAGTCTCAAATCCAATGTATAAATAAGTATTCAATTCGAACCAGTAGGTCCTGAGGTTAGCGCGTTAAAAAAAACCTAAAAGCTCTTCAGTTTTATATTATTAGTAAAAAACGAACTGTTGATCATTGATCATTGGTGATTGATCAACTGGTCTCTGCTGTTTTGGCAAATGGAAAATAACACAGCCTAAGCCGGGCTTATTAAACTCACTTAAGCCGATAGCACGTGTTAAACTCTAGCACTCACGAACTGAAGCTAAGTACGACGATAGGTTTACATGGCTTTCTTTATATTAACATGGATAGGTTATTTATAATATTTGTTTTAGTTATATAATGGATACTTGGACAAGACAAATGGGATATCCGCTTATAACTGTTAAGGAAGAAGAAAATAATAAATTAGTCCTAACACAATCACGGTTCTTGTTAGATCCGAATGCCGAGTATGAAGATGACTCTGATTTTCAGTAAGTGATTTATAATATTCTTTTAATATATATTTATATATTTTTTCACTTTCATGTATATGAGAGTTGAAAAAATTATAAATGAATTATTCCTGTAACTATCACCGTTAAGTAGTGTCTGTAGTTTACGCGATTACATATTTAAATAAAGCATTTAGCGGTTTAAAACTCGAAATGTATTAGTTAACTTATTTACAATTTATTTTAACCATGGCTCGACGTTTCGCATGCTTTGACCAATAATTTCGCCCTTAATGTTTATGTTTTAATGTTGAGGTTATTACAATTTAAAGGTAGAGTTTTCTACGATTGTATATTATGTTCCAGTTACCGATGGTTTGTACCAATAACCTATACGACAAGCAAAGGCAAACACGAAGACATTCTCTGGTTTCCGGATACCGCAGAAAATGGTAAATGTTGATAACAAATTTTATATAGTGTTACTGATATATTGTTGTTTTTGAGCTACATTTCTTAAAAACTACCAATCTTTATTTATATATCTCAAGTAGCCTTTCAAATAACCGTATAATTAAAGTAATTGTATATTTCTAGTGGAAGTACAGTTAAGTAATGATGAGAAATGGATAAAGATCAACAATAATCAAGTTGGATACTACAGAGTTAATTACCCTTTGAGCACCTGGAATAAAATCTTATTGGAAGCGATGAAACAACAAAGTGGAATGGTAATTAATTTCAAGATAAGACAATAGACAATAGTTTTATTTTTACAACATAATATATTAGTGTTTATAATTTTTTGGCTAGTTTAGAAAATAATGAGAGAAATACTGTCTATAGTTTACGCGAGTAGTACACATTTAAATAAAACACACGGGAAGACCCGTGACCACGGCTGCTGCAAAGCATCCGAAACGTCGGGCCGAAGTTAAAAATCATTTTCAAATCAGCTTAACTAATATATCGCGTTTTAAACCGTTAAAGTGTTTTATTTAAATAATGAGAGGTTATTTATTTTACTTAGTCGAGAGAAAAGTGAGAGGCAGAAAAAAGTACTAAAGGTTAACTTATTGTTTGCCTATAATTAACGTCCTTTTAATAAATATGACTATGTCTAAAATGGAATTTTAAATAAGCATTGCATTTTATCCGTTCAGTTTGTTTTCTTATTATATTAATTTTTAGCTAACGTTATCGGACCGAGCCAATCTATTGGATGATGCATTCGCTTTGGCGGAAGCTGGTCTCCTACCATATGACACTGCTCTCAACCTAACAGCTTACCTCACAGCTGAAAAAGATTTTGTGCCGTGGGAGACAGCTGCGGGGAAATTTAGCCAACTCTCAGATAGACTACTTGGAACCACATCCCACGACCATCTTAAGGTATCTTTTTTATAATATGTGTAAACAAAGTATGAAAAATACTTTACACGATTGAAAATGAGAGAGATAGCTATATTTATCTTAAATCCACCACGCAGCTCCAGTGTGGGTTGGTGATTTTTAACACTGCTGCCATTAAATTACTGATGTTAACTGGGTAAACGTATTTTCCGAGGCACGGGGGTGATGACACCTCTTACTTTCACATTGTAGAATTTTCTTTAGAAATCTTCTTAGAAAAATCCCTAATACAAAAGTAAACTTCCAATCCACCTAAAATTCGAACCTCGTAATGTGTTGTAGAGTTCAGTAACCACTGAGCCAAAGTTTAGTTAATATAGGATACTGAATACCATAGTGCTGAAGTGTAGTATACAGTTTCTCTCTGTTACAGAAATATATACAGAACCTCATCGAAGGACTGTACACACAACAAAGTTGGGACAGAACTAAATTGGATGTCATTCAAGGGTAATGTTGCATATAAAGACATGTTTATTAAAGATTTATTTCATATATGTTATGTAATTCACATAAAAACCTATAAAATTTATTTCATTTAGCCTCCTGCGCACGAGGGTTTTAACACTAGCGACATCTAGTGGCGTGCCTGATGCTAATAGTCGTGTTCGGGAACTGTTCCTTAACTGGTTAGATTCCCACGGTACGACGAACGCATTCGTGATTGAACCGGACTTGAGAACTCTAGTCTATCACTATGGTAATTAATTTTTTTTTAATGATAGAGGAGGACAGACTAGCATAGGATTCACTTGATGGTAGGTGAAATACCTCAGCCTATGGTATGTAAACATGATGCACTGTCGGCCTATTTTGGCTTTGGATATTGGCCCCTTTATTATTATTATAAATTGTAATATGAATGATCTACAAGTTTTTTAAAAATTCCACTATTGATTCATTTTAAAATATATTTAGAAACGAGTAAATATATTTAATTCATTTCCCGCTTAGACAAAAACACAACATCTCTTGATGATGTTATAGCGAAACGTCGAGAACCGTTTCTCTTAGTTCTCCAAACATCTTTATCGCCTAAGTAGCTATATATTATGGAAACACTAATCAAACATAAGAGATAATACAATTAGTTTTTAAATTAAATAATCTATTCTTAAAAATCTAACTTAATTGTTTTCAAACTGTATGTTTTTATCACAGGTATGAAGCACGCGACCCAAGAGGAATGGGACAAGCTGTGGCAAATTTACCTCCAGGAAGAAGATGTCCAAGAGCAATCTAAACTACGGTCCGCGCTCTCTGCTCCGGAAAATGTTGATATACTAAAGAAGTAAGATTATTATTAAATACTGTCTGTAGTTTACGCGAGTAGTACAAATTTAAAGAAAACTCTTTAACGATTTCAAACGCGATATATATTAGTTAAACAGATTTGAAAATGGTTCATCCGAGTCGTCGGGCCGTATATAAGATAATTTTCATGTTGTAAGTAATACATGTCGCGTTTTAAACTGTTAAAGTATTTTATATAAATAAGATTGAGTTTCTTTCCTTTAAAATTCTTTCGTCGATTTCGTTATTCTGTATTAATCAGATGTTTTGAGCGATTTTTTTTTCACCTGCAATACTGTTGATGTAATCGAAGCGAACTAAATGTATTTTACAGATATTTGGATTTATCCTGGGACAAAAATAACATTCGCAGTCAAGATTTTTTGAACGTTCTGCAGTCGATCAGCGGCAACCCCTCTGGTACTGCTCTTATTTGGGACGAGGTACGATCGAGGTGGGAAGAACTAGTTGCCAAATTCACTCTTAACAGCAGATATCTTGGCAATCTCATACCTGCTATTACAAGCACGTTTAATACGAAAGAAAGGTTGACAGAGGTAAGAACTAAAAAATAAACATAATATAAAATGGTTGCATTAATAAATCTTAGGCCACTATTTTTTCATTTGAACCTAAAATCACACGACTGAGATTTGGTTTTGGGTTATATTTTTAATCTGTTACTGTGTAAAAAATTCGCGTTTTAGCTCCCACCACCAAACACACAAACAGTCATATACAGGATAAAAGAATACTTAACAAAAACCTAAATTTTCTCTTGTTTATACTTGACGGAGATATAGCAAATCTATAACACAATAAAAGAATTATCTAAGGTTTTCCTTAATTGACGTGGGTCGCGAAGGCTATAGATGTCAACCATATCGAGTAGAAGAAAAATATATCCCAATACCATTAGCGTCTTATAAAAATGTTGTTTTATTAAACGTTCGTTGGATGATAAAACAATGTTTTTCTAATATCATTTATAATAAAATATGTTATTGTGTGTTAAAGTAAAAGATTACTATAATCATCTATTAAGTAATCGTTCACAATAATACTATCCGCTTTCGTTTGTTTTTTTTTTCCAAGACAATTGTGTAATATATGCTATTTACTTATAATATGTATTCGCTAAATAGAAGATTAAAACGTTAAATAACCATTCTTTAATATTTATTGTAAATTTCATTTGAAAAAATATATACACTCAAAACCTCTGAATGTCGCGATTTATATGGGATTTGTATGAATTTAACCACACCTCAATATTAACGACATTTCACGTTTAGAAAAAATACTCATATATTTGCATATCGTTTCAGATGGAGAAGTTTTTCGAAAAGTATCCCGATGCCGGCGCAGGCGCATCGGCGCGTAAGCGGGCACTTGAAACTGTACGAAATAATATTAAATGGACAGCCACTCATCAGTCTGCAGTTGCAAAGTGGCTTGAGAACCGAATTAAAATCTAATTTGTTTAATATTAAACAGTAAAACTATATTTTCAGTGCATTTTTTTTATTATATTTATACTAAGTATCTCTTCCTATAATAATAAATTCTACGGTGCTAATACTGAAACATGAGATAATAGAGATGGTTTCGTCAAGACCTTAAGATGTCTGACGTAACACTGTGTAATAACTATACGCTGTCTTGATAATCTGAAAAAAATTTATTTATTATTTAAGAATGAATAAAAACTATAGGTACACGCGGGATAATCTTTCAAATAATTAATATTAATGTATGTTAATGGTATAATGTTTATAATGTATGGCTAATAATCAGCCAGTCGTGGGTTCGTTCTCCAACAAGTACAACACGCAAGTCAATTAATAATATCGTAATTCCGCCCGGGTCCGTAAACACCGTTTATGAATGAAAAAGCCATTGGGCTTTAGTCTGTAGATTCCAAATATCCAAGCAATGGTCAACGGCGAATCTTGTTTCGATTTTCTATGACTCAGATATTTAACCTACCAAGAAGTGAAGCGCATATTGCCTACTAAATAAAACTTACTAGCATCACAGTTCTTGGGGGTAGAGTTAATACACTTGTGCGGTGCTAATTAACCAGAAACCTAAGTTTTAAGAGACCTGAATAAACGATTGTAGATTTAGTACGTTGAACGGTCCCGCGAACAGCCTGCAATTCCGAGACATTTCGTGGCACAGAATAGCTATTTCCCGTCGTATTTTACTGCTAAGACACCACCAAGCTGAATAATAAGGTCCATCGCCTACGACTACAGCACTCTGTAAATAAAAAGAAATATAAATACGACAGGGTGTCAGCATGCCAACGTCAGGCTTTTAAAATGCTTTTTAGTCCTTCGCCGAGTCGGCTTTAAAGTCATAAGCATCGCTAGTTCTTCGCAAGTAAAACCGCTTTCTTTACAACTAAGTTACATAAAGCTAAAAAACTATTTTCCTGGCTGTAAGCGGCCCATAGACGATTAATATTATTGTGCAATTTGAATTACACATATTTTGACGCTGAATATTATTGTACAATAAGTTACGTTGTGCCATAAATTTCTTTCTGTGGGGGTGATATTGACGGTTGTACAATATTGACAGCACAATTCTTTCCCGTTTGCACAATATATTTTCACGGATTTGATAGGCCGCTTTAGTTATGTCATCTATTCCATCAAAATTCATTCAGTTGTAGTCGAGTCAAAGTAATGAATTATATTATTCACGTAGGTAACTAGATACATATATGAACGTCAAGGAAATTAGAGACTAAACACTGAATTTACATTACCTACTAGTTCTCTAATCAAGGGCGTAGAATGAGGAGAACTGGCAAGAAACTCACCGGCCCTCCTTTTACCGCCTACTGTAATTTTATAGTCTTCACGTACTATAAGCGTATCTACTACATCTTTTTTGTTTGATTATTATCCTTTACATATTGCTTTACGTCACAATAACCTTGATAGTGGGCGCTTTACTGGGAAATTTATTAAAATATAGAATTGTAAAGTATTGATACATGTATAGACCAAAAATAGATTGTAAAAATTCGACGATGAAGTGTAGTACGTTTGCTCATTGGTTAAAGCAGACGGTACGCTGTTGTTAGTCGCTTCAAGTTCCGCCCGTGTCGTAATTTTTTTAAATCTAAGTAGATTTAACATAAAGTATAATTTTTTACTAAAATGTTGTAGGTATTTATCTCTTCCGATAACTACTTCTAAAATCTTGTTTTTCACATAATTGAATTTAGCAAATAAATTATCTGACATCATAAGCTGATTACCTTAAGTAGCTTAGATATTTTACTTAATTGCCAGTCAAAAAACTTGGGTATTGATACGTCTGTAGTTTACGCGAGTAGTGCACATTTAAATAAAATTTAACGGTTTAAAACGTGATATATATTAGTATGCCCGTGACCACGGCTGATCCAATTAATCCGAAGTCGTCGAGCCGTAATTTTCAAAAAGTTTAAGTAATATATATCGCGTTTTAAACTGTTAAAGTGATTTTAAACATAGATACGTTGTAGTTCTTACATTACCTCATTTTGAACTGCATCTCCGTAATGGCAGTAAAGTAGAAGTTGTGTTAAAGTCGCACACATATACTGCAGCAGTGAGATTAGTTGTGTAGCGCTTAATTCCGTCTGTAACGAAACACATTCAGGGTAAGTGTATCTTAACTGAAGTACACAGATAAGGTTTGACGTATCAGGAGCACCTTTCCTTCCGCGAAAAAAGTGGAACACTAAGTTACCACGGTGTCCGTTTTTGTTTTAATGTTATTTAATTAAGCAGACTTCCCCGACCGATAGAGTTTTACCCAGGATTCGAATCCAGGACAAATAGTAGATAACGCTTTTACATTGAAGGTGGATTATTATATATAACCTTTCCTTAATAAGTCATAAAAAATATATTAAAATTAGCCCGGAAATTTTTAGACATGGTATGGCAAATGCCTTTAAAACCGCATCACTGTTTCCTGTTTAAATCACTTCTTGTATTAAAAATAAACCCTAATTATAAAAACATTTATAATTTATATTAAATAAGAAGACCTTAGTCGAAAAAACATATTTCCGTTACTGGTTCTTATTGTTTTGTTAGTTTGGTGGTTTATATCCTGTGATACCGCGAAAATTTGATGACTTTTTATCACTTCAAAGATTCTCTAAGGTTCATTTCGATTATCGGTCTACAAAACTTTACTCTACCTTTAGTTATAAAATGGGGGTTTAACTTAGTATTTACTGTTAATAGTACGCTAACTGACGCAACATATTATGTATATGACCTATACTTACTGATTGCAGTTGCACAGCAACACAACAAAGAGTCAATGTAGCTACGAAGAAATATATTCCAATTATATTTCTTATCAGGTCATTTAGTTTATTTACCATACTGGAATAGAAAAGCGTTTTAATATTTAGTACTTTAGTACTATCTTATTTGTAGTTTAGTAAAATTCTGCGGTAGAAGCTTGTGTTTAGTACATTTCTTATTTACTCTAAATCTACGTTATTATGCTAAAAATAAGCATGTTTTATATGTAAATATTTAACCCGTCGACTTTACTCCCAGTATTAACGTAATAAAACGTGTTATTTTTAAGTCTAACAATTTCTAGCGCATAAAAGTAAGAATTCATCATATTGTCCCGAGAAAGAATATCTATATAAAATTTGTAGGATGTAATGATGTTTATAGGTTACAAACAACCATGCATTTAACTATATATATATAGTTACATTTTACATTGCACATGTAAAAGAAACTGAAATAAATGATTTAAATAAATATAACAAAATTAACATAATATACTCAATTTATGAAGTTGACTTACACAAAGTAGTATATATATTAGGTAGTATGAGTAGTGTAGTAGTTGACAGCACGTGAGCATTAACAGATTGCTGATTTTCTCTTTTATTAAGAAATAGACTATATAAACCTTACCTCAACAAAGTCACATGGATGAAATGACACTTTTGCAGTCTATAATGCGCCCGCGCGTCCCTTTTGATATCCAAATCGAATCTGTTACCACTCCCACCAATTCGTGTACTGTATTCTCGTAATAACGAAAACTGTCCGCATACAAATATCATAGTTCCCGTGGAGAACGAATCAAAGGCTATATGAATAGCGACACAGTACACAGACGCTGTGATTTCAACAACCAAAGTAAACAAGTACCCGAACACACTAACGTTATCTAACGGTGACCAAATCGGTAGGACATGCACTTTAAACACATCTACCTCACCGCGTATTCTAAATATCGCATACTCGACAAACGGTGACAAAATATACACTACAAGTGTAAAAGCGTACATTTTAGAAAGCAGGTCTGTGGTTGATAATAATCTTTTGGTATACAATGAGATATGTGGGTATAAGCTATTGATGTCATCGTCGTCAGATTCATAATTTACAGTAACATCGTCCTCATTTAATTGCCCGTCTTCGAGACTGAAGGCTTTCGCATGAAGGAAACGCCAGCAATCTCGCCTTGTATGCAACGATAAGAATTTCATAAAACCCATGACGCAGAACGAAAGGATGCTGAAGCAACCAAAAAGTTTTTCAAGATCATGTCTATCCTTTATCAGCGCTATGAACTGAGCCACGTTGGTGATGAAAAAGCAGAGAACGCAGATCTTAGCAAACCAGTTGATGCTGCCACCTCTGGGTCCCAACCACAAGCCCGCCTTGTAAATCCATTTAGTGATGGTTACCTCGAAAGTTGTCTTTCTTAACTGCGTCAAGTGCTTAATATACTCTTCTGTATTCTTAGTCCTCTGGAAATATAGGATTTTTTTTAAATGCTTTATTGTATACAGTTTTTGCTACTAGTACACGTTTGAATAAAACACTTTTAACGGTTTGAATCAAATATATTACGCGTTTCAAACCGTTTTTTAATGTTACCATATATGTATTGTCTGTAGTCTACGCGAGTAGTACACATTTAAATAAAACACTTTTAACTGTTTAAAACTAATATATTACGCCTTATAAACCGTCAAAAGTGTATTATTTGTTTAAAGTGTATTACATTTTTTTTTTAATTTTTCCTAGCAGAAACGATCGTGGTGTCCTAATAAGAACAATTTACTTATTGCATAAACATCAAAACGCGACAGATCAAGAAACACTTGTGTTAATTATGGAATAAAAAAATATAAACAATAAATAAAGTGCACAGAAATATTGAGTGATTTTTTCTGGTAAAAAAGAGAACAAGAGAAGAATAATAATGTATCTTATCGATTATTTAAGGATTTTGATTTCGCGGCGGGTAAACGCAAATGCCGCGGCGGAAAAATACTTAACCATAATCGCCGACCTAAGTGGGTAAAAAAAGATATCAATCATACAATTATCAACTAAAACGCGACGGAAATTAGAGAAGTGATAAAATTAGTGCTACTATCTAACTATACCAAGGTGTCAATCTATTACCTTCAAATGATAACTACTAATAATATTTTTCGGCGACATTATTTCAAAACAGCAGCAAGATTTCGATGCCACGTATGAAATAAAGCTTTACTTTACTTCAAAAACTATGTAACAACTGTATAGGTTACTAATTACAAAATAATATACATGCTGTAGCTCAACTCTCAAATTCAGTTTTTTACAATCCGACCCACATATTTGTTATAAGTTTCTGTGTCTAAATAATACGCATTACTTATTTTCAAATATTGTTATAATAATTTTAATTATTGTAAAATACAACTTCATGGCTCAAAAGTACATGTGTTGCTTAGTATCGCGTTCAGTGTCCAAGTCCTGTTCTCAGTAGTCTCAGTCGAGTAGACCTAAAAAATATGTAAATTGAAAAGTCTGAATGATAAAGACACAGAAATGTGTCTACCAGTTTTTTACACATTCACATTATGTATAATGCCGTTATCAGTAACAAGAAATACTATTATTTGTTTTTTAAGCAAAGTTAAAATTGTAATTGGTACTAATAACGACACAATTATAATTAGGGCGATCATTACTTATCAAGTTACTTTGGTGGAAGGACTTTTTGATTAATTATTTTATTTTTGTTCTACAGATAATAGTAGATATCATTTCAGTTCGCATGCCCTAACAAAGTTAGGAAATCAAGATAATTTTCCCAACCCAATAACCAAGAGAAAATATATCAAATTTACCTGGCCTAACAAAAAAAAGTATCCTAATAAACCATGAAACATGAAAAATAAAAAGTATGTCGCTTTAATAATAATTCAGTGTTTACTGGGTTCAACCTTTTCCTTGTAACGACAAACAGGCTTTGATTAAGGGAAACAAAATTGATTTCATAAATGTAATAACGCTGAGTTATACCTGTTTCAATGTTTATTTCATTTATATTTTACCTACAAAAAATAGAACGGTTTTAAGTGTCTTATATTGTAAAAGGCTCTTGCGGTCATCTTATTGCTCATTCTGGTGGGGAACGGATTTCTCAATTGCGTGAAAGATACTTTTTTTATATGACACGTATATTTAGAACACTGTATTGCCCGAGCAACAGCACTAAGCTGTGGTTGTGGGTCTGCGTGCAACCAGTGATATATATTTATATGACCGGTCACATGCACTAGTATCTAATTAAGTTAAAAATATTTTCGGATGAACAGACCGATGGAATTCATTACATAATAAAATAAGTTATTTATTTGTCCAAAAGAATTATTATAGCTGTACGTAATATAATACGATACGATTGAATAAACAACACGTGACTTATGATATTTTGAGAAGATTATCTTTTATTCTCTTCATAACGATACGAAAATGTAGAACGTGGAAATTATAATTATATTTAAGTTTAAAATGATTTAAAAACTGTCTGATCGTTTATAGTGTTGTAAAGCATGTAGCAATTGTCAAGGGTGAGTTTATATACCTTTAGAAAATCGCGGCACGTAAGCTTCTGAAATTTAACATTTTCCTAACGGAACGTACTAAACTGCTTTTCAGCCTTTTTCAGTCGCAGCAGGGTGCTACGCCATCGCATAATCGCCATCGATAAATAAGCCTTATACCGCTGAAAAAATGTTGAACCGGGCCGTATTTCACGAGAACGATGATAGATCAATAGATAAAGAAAGTGTTAACCAAACTCTTCAGTATCTAATTATTGTTTCACAGTTATAGTAGCTGACCAGATAAAAATGTTTTGCAATATGACTTGTTTCTAAGGAATTCCTAGTGAAGAATAAAAAATAAAATAATATGATTGAATTTATTACCTATAAGTGTGTAAGGAAGTGTAAATGTGTAAAGGAGGCATGGGGTGTTTTAACCGATGTGGAAATAGAACAATAACAAAAAATACTTTTCGAAGTGAAACTCTGGGTTTGAACAAAATTCAATCTAAAGTAAATTTAAAATTTAAACCTTATCCCGGACAATTGTTATACCTAATAAAATGCGTAATAAAAACATAAAAATCGCTCGAATTATTTCGGAGTGTGGTTACTTTTTTATGATAGAGTATGAGAGACAAGCATAGAATTCCCTTGATGCAAGGTGAAGGCTGGGGGGTAGCCATAAAACTATGAAAAGATATTATTGTATTATAATTATTCTTAAATGAACTGATAAAATAGGTATTTTATCCACCCCTTTTTATTTTATTTAACATATCTTATATAAAACAATATTGTATATTTTATATGTGTACTTCGTTTCCATTTCATCTTGGGATTCGCTCGCAAGCGCGGATGTCAGCTATTATGCAATTTGTATACAATATCACACGAACGACAAGCCAATAATGTAATATCACTGTTGTTGTTACAATCAGCGCAAAAAACGATATCCATTTTGCTATCTTCACTTTTGCAAAACGCGTGTTTCATTCAAGTTTAATAAACTAACCCATTTTACAAAATAACGAACACATCATTACTTTTAAATACTCTAGTTTAATGTTATTGTTTACATAGAAAAATAAATAAAAACATGTCGAAAGTTATTACGATTAGATTGTCTTAAAGGGTTTTAAAGTATTCAAGATAACGTATCAATACATTTAGGCAAATATTGTGTGGTTGTTCAATATCTTTTGTCTCAATTTTGTTAATGACGCATTAAAAAAAAAATAGGTTCTTAACAAACCAAAAAGTTAAATAATAACAATATTTACTCGGGTATAATTAAATTAGCATTGTGTTAACACTACCGGTGTCAAAACCTTTATTATTTAAGAAAATTTGGCCTATGTTATTATCTTTTTGTTTCATATGTTCATACATTTAGTAAAATGCCTCCAACATCAATATGAATTAATTTTATGTCTTTCTTTTATGAAACTATTAAAATTAACTTAAATAGTTATAAGTATGTTAAAAATGGTAGAATCACTTTTGAAACAAAATTACTATAACAACAGTATCGTACAGTCAAACCATTGTGTTAGTAGAACACCAAATGCTTGATACTGAAAATAAAAGAATCCGGATTCCGTATTGATTGACACTTGAATTAATTTTTGCATAATTAACATTTGTTACTGAGTATAGTCCGCGTAACATGTTTAGAGACACATTGAATACAGTGGTTTTAACCAAATTAAATAAAAGCTGACCTGCGTGCATAACTATTTATTTGGCAGTATGTTTTAAAATCTGCAGACGTCTAAATAATAAGTATTATTTCATATATTTATATATTAAACTTTATTAATTATAATCATCATAGAAATGGTTTACAAGAATAAGAACTTATGAATTACATATTTATAAGCTAGCTATATATAATAAGAAGTCTTATCGCTAAAGAACGATCTCTTCCAGGCAACCAGATCTAGTAGGCTTATTGACTTGGCAGATTGCTTGGCTCATTGTTTAAACGCGTGGCCTACTTGTTTAAGTGCGAAAGAACCAAAAATCATATTTCGAATTCTATTTTTTTTTAAATAAAGTGGTCAGTGAAAGAGACAAAGACTGTGTCTGCCCATGCCATAGACAGAAAAATCTAGGTTTAACATTTTATTAACTTGAAGAAAGCTGAACAGCGGAATCATATTAAACGAAATCACATTTCTAATTCTATCATACGAACTCCGCCCGTATTTGAACTCTATCGATTTAACGAGTCAATCTTCGAATGTTTAATCTCAATAATTCTAAAATCAAAAAGGTATAAGGTTGGTAAAGGTATTTAATTAACCCTAGCTGAGCCAATGAAAAATTTTTAATTCAGCAATTAAAATGTTATATTTGTTTATTATTCATCTCTTAATTTATAATTTTCTTCTATACATTATATATGTTCGTGATTAATCGAGTCTACAGATAACTTAAGGCCCCGAGGGCACAAGAAGCCAGTACGTTAATTAAAAAAAATTAAACGATCAAAAAAAATAGAGCAAGCAGCCAAAGGAAACGTGTACTAAGCACTGGGCATCGCTTAGACATAGATAAATTACGATAATTTCTAACCTATTGACAATGTATTTCCTATATATAATCTGTGAGGATTATTTACTGTTTGCAGTCTTGCGCGAGATCTTAGCCGCTTCAGGACCCGCTGTTAACTTTTAATTCGGTGGGACGAGTTACCACTTAGGTATGTTTTTCTTTTGTTTTATTTAAGTTAAACGTATCAATCTTATATAAACGAACCAGTTCATTCAGTAGTACATGTAGACGTAATATACAATACATAGATATGTAACGTATATAGACGATTCCATAACAAGCACAATTACACACTTTTTTGAACAACTAAAAACATTAATATTACCAATAATAAATTCTGACCGGATCTCGAAAAAAGGTGCAATTAAAAACGGCTATAAAATTTAAGAAGTACTGATATTTAATTTAATTTATTTTTTTACTACTTTAATAATTAAACATATTATCCTCATTCAAAGAAGTGAAGGATATGTAAACATAATGTGTGATCTTTGTGTATAGGATTTGTATTTTGTAAGATCTAACCAATATTTGATTTTGTTCTGGATTTAATCCCGATAACTCTGATCAAATAATGGAGCAACCGCAAAAAATAGATTTCCATATGGGTAGCCCCTCATCTTAAATCGTAAATTATATACATTTTTCTTGTAAAATACTTTCATCGTCTCTCGAGAATTTACAACATTTTCAACTAATCACTTTTCAAGAAATCAATGTATACATCTAATCGATAGACTCACAAAAATGCTTCTTTATAATTCTAATAGATGATGATAAAGGAAAAGACCGCGAAGTCATTCAAAGCCCAGTGTTTGTAGCACACACTCGGTAAAACATATTTTTAGATACAACGTGATTTATGGTGACAGTAATATTGATTTATTGAGCATAGAATTACAAGAGATAGAAGTTATGTATCTTATACTTAAAATATGTAAACCTAATCGATATCTAAGGATTGTGGATATAAATACAGAGGTTACCTAAAAGGGCTGTAGGCAGGCGAAAGATCTATAAATATATCCTACAAGCCTACAACAGTCATGGTAAGTTTTTATTCAAGTCTACACTAGCAAAGATATATAACAACTTCTTCTCTACACATTCACTAGAAGCCAAATAATATCTTGTGTACGTACAAGTCATTTTGCTATTATTTTTATGTTGTAAAAATCAAATACAAATTGAAAAATACCAAATATATATTAGTTTTACTTAAATTTCAAAACAATAAAAGAATGTTTACTATCAATGTTTCACGCAAAAACTATTGAAAAAAATCTAATCAAAACGTGGTAAGCGTTTGATACCAGCATAAACTATAATCGATCTTATGTAAACAAAACATGGCCTCATCGGTCTTTTGTAAAAAAACAATAGAAACATTAGTCTGTTAATAAAATAAACAACCGAGTGTAAGTGATAATACTAAGATTTCAGTCGGAAAGTTTTGTACCAACCTATATGCGTACTATTTGTACTTCTATCCAATTAAAGTAAGTAGCTATTGCCGTTTTAATTGTTTATAATAAATAAATGCGAAGCCTAAACTAGGTAATATCTATTGCACTATCCAAAAAAACCCTTTAATTTTTCGTTAAGATTTTAAACTAAATCAGCCTAAAACAAGCAACTAATTTGAATAGGAAAATTTAAAGGAGGCTTTATTTTTTGCTAAATAAACAACGATGTTTGATATAACGTCGGCCAGATTAGCAAATAGATATAAATTAGTCGTACTTCAATTCATCAAGATAAATTTAAAATATTTGCTAACAGCTATCGAAATTTCAAAAAGGTTAGATAGTTTCCTTTATCTCATAAATCAGCGATTGAGGTCAAGTATAAATAAAAATATGATCACTATCAGAAAGCGTGACATTTTACTATACTCCTTTATTGTTAATAGAATAAAATGCATTACAACTAATTAATGCATGTCTGCAACTCTCGTACATTAATATTCGTAGACCATTTCAATGTGTATCATTGTTTTTCGGGCTGTTCGGCCGAAGTGAGGGGGAAGAGTTATGATATAATTCTTTGAACAATCGAAAAGTTAACATCTCCTGATGATGCCGTCCGCACATGATGGCGAAACGTCGAGAACCTCGTCTCGCTTACGTCGGCCGAACAGCCCTAAAAACAATGATACACATTGAAATGAGACACGTGAAAGCTTTACACAATTTATTTCAACGTGTCTCTAAATATTCTCTCAAAGATCTTAAAACTTTACTGTTCACTGTCAAGAGTGTTTATTAATTTATTTATCCAAATACATTGCTAGAAATCAACATGTATGCTCGATGAATTTACGAACATGAATACGATAATTTGACAAAATTATATTACATTAGGCAACGCTATCTTTCAATAACCATAAACAGCAATTTTTGTATTAAAACATATCGCGTCCCACTTTTGTGGATGGAAAATTTGTTATTTCTATTACATAGATATATTGTGTCAGTCGATCTAATTTTTATTTTACTGAATCAGAAGGCAGTGGCATTTTTTCATGATTTTCAGCAGTAAAATTGTCCTTCTATCGTATATCAACAGCGAGTCGTTCCACCAGTTTATTTCCTTAACAATGAAATATTCGCACAGAGGTTGCGACCTAACTCGTTTATCATTTATATCGATCTTTGTTGATTGTACACATCATCTATGGATCACGCCACTCGTGCGCATGCGACGGTCACGCCCGAGTCGGGCAATGATATTAAACTACGGGGTATGCCTGTGATAGACAGTTCATAGTATTTGCCTACATACAAGTTCGTGCACAGTGCGATTTTAATATACCTTTGGTAAGCTCCACTTTTTGCTGTAAAACTTATATACCGGGTTTAATTTTTTATTTCAATGTTTTTCAATTATAAAAATATTTTTCTAAATTACAACGTACCTTGAAGCACCATAGCGTGTTCTTACAGTAATTTGAATTGTATACTTATTTGTTATTTTAACCTCTCTGAGTTAGGTACGTTATTTTTAAAATTGTTAACGTTCAAGCTCAATTTACAAAATTACAACAATGTCTTATAGTCTTTTTTAAAAATTTATTGTGTTTATCTGAATGGAGAAATTAACTGAGTTTACAAATTTATTTCGGGCATGTAATTTCTAAATGATTTCTATTATTTAATAGAATATCAACTCAAACCAAAACATCGATAATAGTAATAATTAATTACATTATTTAATACTCTTAAAAAGATTATAAAAAATAATTAACATTTGATGGTAACCGCGTACCACTCGAGTAAATCTTTTAAGCCAACACTCTTTATTGCAAAAAAGTCTAATTCAATCATTATATTTTTATTTATTTTATGAATTTAAAAACTTCTTAAATTGTAGTTTTTATTATAAAAAATAGACAAAGGCATTTTCACATAGAGTACGTACTCTTGAATCATTAATTAACGAATCTAAATGTGCGAGATTCATAACTAGAACAAAGTCTCAATATTAACATACATACTGAAATTCGTTGTGTTCAGTCGCTTGCCGTTGGTCAGTTGCTCTTTTAGTGTTCTCTGTGAATTACAAAATACAGATTGAACAGGTAAACCTTTTTTTTAGTTGTGTACCTGACATTTTTTTTGTAAAAGTAAAACAGGTTTTTTTCGATCTTTTTATATTGTTTGGTGAAGCCATTGCTTGAGGTAACGCCATATTGATATGGCTAATTTAAAACTAATTGCATAATTCAAATTCGTAATTTCAGAGTGAGGTTTTGTTTACTATTGCTAAATAGTATAAATAATAATGTGCGTCATTAACATCATACATACGATTAACATCAAACCCGAGTCATTCAACGTTAGCCGCCGCATTCAGTATTGTTCCCGAGTACTTATAATCGTTAAATTGTCGAAAATAATTGTATCAAAGTAGAGGCAATTCTTAATGGAGCCGTTAGTAAAGTCTGATTGTACATTTGGGACTAATTGTAGTTTATAAATTTCCTCCGCGACTGTTAAGGTCCTTTGTGGAATTTATTTACGATCGCGATGAGAAATTAATTTTGGCAGAGTTTCATACTCTGCTTTCAATCGGCTCAAATTGATTGTCAAATCTATTATTACAGTTCGCTACATTTATCATCGATTGTTTTTAATTGTTTGCTGAATGCTTCTCTTTCAGAAGGATGCCGCCGCACCAGCAAACTGCATCTTGGGTGTTGTACGAGTCGGACACAAGTAAAGATGCAACGATAGTGCCCCCCTCTGCTGAAAAACGGAAGTGGCAAATTGTGTGGAGAAATGTAATCATTTTCGCGGCGCTGCACTTAGGCGCTGTTTATGGTGGTTACCTGTTTCTGATGAAAGCAATGTGGGCGACAAGATTATTTGGTTAGTTCTTAAATCAAATACTTACATTATTAAACACGGTTTTATAAGGGTACAGGGAGATACCGTTACGTTTGCTGCAAAGCATCTGAATCGTCGGGTAGTAGGTACAATAATTTTAAGCCTTGGTCACGCTAGGGTTTTTATTTACGTTTAATTACGTTTTAAACTGTTAAAAGGGTTATTTTTTAATTTACTACTTGTTAATTATTATTATAATTTCGCATATAGACATAACCTTTAAAAATCTATAAACTTTAGCGTGCATGGAACCATAGCTAAGCGATCTAATTTATTAAGTTGTAGTCAACACCTGAGATTATCTTATTTCTCTTTTAGGAGCAATCTCTTTTAGGTGATTTTGGTGAATATAAATAAGTGATTATGATATTTCTATGTTGGAGAAAGGGGTCTTGGCGATATGACAAACAAATTAATTTCCGCGCTTATAACAATATTAGTATGGATCCAATCAATTACAGACCTTCTCTTCCTAACGATAGTTTTAATAATGTGTTCCGTTCCGTTGTAAAGACGTTAATAAAAACAATATTTATTGGGTTTTATGAGCGACCCTCAATCACTTATAACAAAAGATTTCCTATTAACTATTATATTAACAACCTCTTTGTAGTGTTAATTTAAAAAGATGCAATGTATATTATAAAGATTTGTGCTAAACAACCTTTAACTGTTTAAAACGCGAAATAGATCACCCACTGCGTGACTATGGCTGCTGTTAAGCACCCGAGAAGGTTAAAAATAAATTAGCTAAAATCTTTCTCCGTTTTCAACCGTTAAAAATAATATATTGAATTTGTACCACTTGGGTATTTGCATCGGCTTTGTGATGCACTCGCTCGGATCGAGGATATTCAACACTTTGATAGTCGAAATCTTTGATAAAGATTAATTTATATCCACAATTACGCGCTTAGTGACGTGTGAAGATAATAAAACGATATTTCGGTTTCACAATATATCGATCGTCTGCTTCAATACTAGCTTCTGTTTAGGAATATTTTCAGAAAGTAATGTCAAAAATTAACCTCTTGTAGTCTTGTAGTTGTGTGGCGCAAAGTTTTAACGTATTAGCCTAGCATTCCGTTAAGAGGTTTCGAATTCCCCGGAGAATTTTCCCGGGGAAACATAACAGTTTCGATTGGACACAAAAATCGAATCAACTATTAATAAAAACGATTAGAGAAACGGACACTGACGTGTGTCTGCTTCATGCTACACAGAGATATCAGTCTATATCATTAAAACAAGATTAAATGGATTTAAAAAAGTTGTTTTGAGTTCATTGATAAGAAAGTAAATGTTAAAATCGATTTTAGACTGAAAACGCGGGCAGGACTTGAACCGGTATTTACGGCGTTCCGTGATGTTGCTCTAACCAAATGAGGCGCAAGTATCAAAAGGTTAAATTGTCGTCTAAAAAATCATTCATCGTCATTTTAATCCATAACATATAAAAAAAATTACAAATATTAAATTTGGTCGTTGAAATATAGAGTACTTTGAACATTGTCAATATGACTAGGCTACGTAATCACTAATGTTTCATTTGCAGCCGTGTTCCTGTACCTGTGTTCTGGTCTGGGCATAACAGCTGGGGCTCATAGGCTTTGGGCGCACAAATCCTATAAAGCTCGCTTGCCGCTTCGTATTCTCCTCACCGTTTTCAACACGATTGCTTTTCAAGTAAGTGATTATATGCATAAACTAATGGCGCCTTTCAGTGTTACTTGCCATGTAATGGGTACATTAAAACGTTAAAAAAATATGTAGTTTTAAGAATATTTTTTTGTCCCGTACTTTTTTGGAGTCATTTAAAAATATATAATTAGGCTAAAATGATACTATTCGTCAGAAGATTTGTTTAATACGTCTTTGTTCCATAATATATAAGTTAAAAAGGATTGAAAAGTGGGTCACGGTTTGTGTAAGATAATGGTATTTCTTGATCTTAATGTATTTAAAATTTCGCACACATAGAATGCGTGTTTTATATTTTATTAAAATTACCCTTACAGGGTTAAAATAAAGACAGGTTAACGCCGAGGGGCGTTCTTAGTTTCTATACAGTTTTGCTGTACAGTCAATAACATTATCAAATCGTGTATTTGTGATTTTAAAACAGTGATAAAATTTTAAAGGAAATCTTATCTCGGTTTGTATGTACACGCTTATCTCCAAAGAATGTGCATAGATCTTTTCACGATTTTTTACCAATAGATAAAGCTAAGCTAGAACTTTCTTTAATTACCACCTTCCTTTTAAAAAACAACTGATACCTGAAGGTTTTCCTAAGAAATGACCTCGTAATTAAATGTAAATACCAAACCATTAGAATCCTGTAAAACCCTAGATGCGCACAGATAAAAGTCCATTAAAATCTTAGGCTGTAGAGCTATCGAACAATTATACGCTTCTTCGAAGTAACTCAATAGGTCAGGATTGCATTAACTTAAAAATAGATACGACAATTCTCGATGTTTCTTTGAAAGTGGTCGGCAGGTGCTGCTTATAAAGTAAGCATTAAGTAAATATATAATAAGATTATTTCTATGTTAAAGGTACCCATATGCCCTCGTTTTATAAAATAAGTAAGCTTTACTCTTTTCCCTCAAATGTTCCCGAAAGAGAAAAATTTTACGCGATCAGATTCCGATATCGTTGAAAACATTTGCGAAAATGTGTGGATTTGAGAGTATGAAAGCGGTGGAAACTAACAAAAATATCTCAATATTGGAATTTGCTTCTTCCAATTGTTCATCGTAACACAGTAATAGCTGTAATCGCGCCCAGCGATATATTGCGGTTTTAAATTCTGAGGGGTTAAATTAAATGGTCTCATTCGGCACAAAAGGTTGTCAACTTGCCAATAAATAAAATCCCCCAGTAAAGATATCTACCATATGCAGAAATTAATATCGCCTTATAAAATTTTGATTTGTTTTAACCTATTAATGTCTCGCTGTTAGTCACAGGTCTTAGGTTAGGGCTTAGGACCCACCATGCTGCTTCAGTACGCGTCAGTGGGCTTTTTTTATGTTAAACGATGACAGACCAGCATAGACTTGACTTCATTGTAGGTAAAATATCCCAGAAATATAACATCTAAACAAGTCTGTCGACTTATTTTGGCTGTGGAATTTAGGTACTAGAAACTTTCTAATTACCGAAACAATGTTTTAACAGAGCCAGAACCTGGAAACTCGTAATTACTAATCGAGAGTAACCGATCAACTTGTGATTGCTTAGATTCATTTATTGTTAAGTCCTTAGCAAATGACCGCAAGCCTTTTAATTAATTCTGCTTTTACAACGCCGTCAAACAGCAATTAAGTGCTAGTTGATTTTGTACGTCCGTCACAGCTGATGCTCTTTTGAGTTTAATTACATTCGTATTGTCCATACGTAATATTTCAAGACATTTAAAATAAAGTATTATTTAAATAAAACACTTTAACGGTTTAAAACGCGATATATTAGTTAAACTTATTTGAAAATGTTTTTTAATTTCGGCCCGACGTTTCGGATGCTTTGCAGCAGCCATGGTCACGGGGAGACTGAGTTAAAAATCATTTTCAATTAAGTTTAACTAGTATGTCGCGTTTTAAAGCGTTAGTGTTTTATTTAAATGTGTACTACTCGCGTAAACTATAGACAGTATTTAATATTTTTATTGTTATATTTTATGTCACCCGCAGACATCAAATATAACAATAAAAATTATTTTATCAAGAGGCAAACTAAATTGAAATGTCGTCCTCAATATGCCTAAGTAACTGAATTTCGTAGTTAGAAGTGTAAAATTAATGTAACGAATATTTCTGCCATTTTAATCTTTCTTTAATTGTCAAGATACTGTCAAAGCGACGAGCTAACTTTTATTCCCGCGATAACATATTTAACTGGAAGTGATATCTATCTAAAGACGTTATACATAAGTCATTCTCGTTATCCTTCATATTAAAGGACAATGCGTCATTTATTTCCCCTCGGTTCGCGCCAGCTGTCAATAAAAACTTTATTATATCGGAAGCGCACTTTCGACAACGATCACGTCAAGATACGTGATAAGCTTGTCTAATGACAAAAATAATGAGTTACATGTGACACACATGTCGTGTTTTGACAACCTTTAACTCCGTTATCGTTGAACTTGTACTCCAATAAAATTTTATCACTTGCACTGATTTATGTAACTTTCACTCGCTTCAGGGATTTTCCTATGTGACGTTAGAGTTTCACTTTTTATGTCCTTTATCTATTAAGCAGTGTGTCGTCATATTCTTTTATAGATAAACGATAACTACTTTAACCCATTTAAATAAAACACTTTTAACGGTTCAAATGGTGAAACAAATTAAGTAGTTGACTTATTTTTAATTTTTTATGAATTTAGATTATGGCTCGTTGAGAATGTTTTATTTAAAAGTGTACAACTCGCGTTAAATACTTACTTTTACTTACTCTTACTTGATACTTCTTAGAAACATTTCTTTTTGGATTACCTATTTGTATGACATAATAACTTTATAATTCGACGTGTACACGAATTTTTTATTACAACATAAAAAAATATATGGCAGACGTAGGTCACTGAAAGTTAATTTATATTAATTACTATTTTGATGTAAATTTAGGCGGCTTTATCTTAAATAGCAGCCAATATACCAGTAATCAGTAACTTCAAAAAGATATGATGATGGCCGTGCAATACTTTTAGATATTAGAGGGTTTTAATACAGACTGACGATTCTGTTCCTTTTTTTGTATCGCCCACATCAAATCCTCGATAATTTTATACCTATAGAAACATATTTTCCTTGTTATGTTTTATCTTGTTTTTTTTTTCTCAGGATTCAGCATTGGATTGGGCCAGGGACCACAGAATGCACCACAAATATTCGGAGACCGACGCTGACCCCCACAACGCAACCCGAGGTTTTTTCTTCTCCCACGTCGGCTGGCTCCTAGTGAGAAAACATTCGGAAATAAAAGCTAAGGGACACACTATCGATATGAGCGATCTCAAAGCTGACCCAATTCTGCGCTTCCAGAAGAAGTAAGTATCCCTTCGAAGCTATGAAATCCGAAATAATTAATTCAAACGATAAAATTGACAACGGTCCGAAGTATCGATAAAAGAAGCGACTATCGGGCGCCTAATAAACTATAGGTATACGAACACGTTACATAAATGTTAAAGAATAAACTGAAAATGTTGGAAAAAGCAATGCCTACAAGTAGAAACATGTCGATCAATCTATATGCCTGATAAAATATTAAAACTTTATTAGTCCCAGTTGAATTTTATTTGTGAAATTATAAAATTCTAACCGTTAATTTTCTTTTACAGATACTATGTTTATCTGATGCCTCTTGCCTGCTTCATCATGCCAAGTTACGTCCCAACTTTATGGGGAGAAAGCCTGTGGAATGGATATTTCGTTTGTGCTATATTCCGTTATGTGTACGTTCTCAATGTCACCTGGTTAGTTAACTCCGCCGCTCACAAATGGGGCAGCAAACCGTATGACAAGAACATAAACCCAGTGGAGACGAAGCCCGTATCTTTAGTTGTGCTAGGTGAAGGATTCCACAACTACCACCACGTCTTTCCCTGGGACTACAAGACGGCTGAACTCGGAAACTACTCGCTGAACTTTACCAAACTCTTTATAGATACAATGGCCAAAATCGGATGGGCATATGATCTTAAAACTGTGTCAACGGAAGTTATTGAGAAGCGAGTTAAACGAACAGGGGACGGATCCCACGAAGAGTGGGGCTATGAAGAAATACATGATAGTGTTAAAGAGAAACTTTGCCAAGACTAATGTAATGTAAAATTAAGTTTAAAGGCTCTCTCAAAAGGCTAAATCGTAACTTGGAATTAACGTGTATTGTGTGTACCAGAATATTGGGAGTTTAGTTCGAATAGACCAATAAAGCCTGGAATAAACCAAAGTACATGACGAATTATTCTCTCGAGTGATTTAGGTATAATTGTTCCTTTATTACCACGTTATGTATGTAATACACATCGTGAGGGAATTGTGATATATAAATTATTTTAGTGTATTTACGATAAGGTGTTTGATATTTTTATAATATTTTGTACTATAATTGCGAAAGACTTTAGATGCTAAAATAAATAAATTTTCCTCGTTAGCGTTTATTTTTCATATTATTTTCCTGTTGTCCTTCTATTTTGGGTATGTAATACCTTATACCACGCACACATCAATACTGTAGAATATATAAAGCCTGTAATTTTAATCAGGGACGATTGTGGATCAACTGAAAGGTCGCCGTCAATTTAAGGCGTTGTTTGGATTTAGTCAATTAGTTTTAATGGTCGCTTTATAAATGTTACAAACAAAATTATACGGACAAGTATAAAATAAAAAAAATAGACTGCCATAATAGTGCAGTGGTAAAACGCGCTTCCTTACCTTTCCATAAACATGAGAGGTATAAGATTCGACGCACGCGACGTGTAAACACATTATTATATTCGTCCAGGTAAAGAAGAAACTAATGAGGACAATGAAAATGGACCCAGTCATTTTTTTGATCCTATGGCGAAATTTCACTTTTTAGCTTTCATATCAGACTTTGATTATATTATTGGTGAAAATAGATGTTCAAATAATTTATCATATTTATACGCAATAGTCCAGGATATTACCGCTAAAAGCATTATAATAGAACACGGCTAATTTCCTTAAATGATAATAGTTCTGTTGACAGTCACGTAACAGGTATAAATCTTCGGGGCCTTCCTAAATTTAGTGGGAAATGGATTCGTTTTGACAGAGAGAGATACTTGGATTGATAATAAAATATTACGGTTGCTTAATATTTAGCAATATAAGCATCGCTTATTGAATTTTAATAAGTTCGTGGTTGCCGTACGATTTTTATATTAAAAACGCCCGGCGTAGACTGAAACTGTCCGCTATTCAGAAATAACTTAAAATTAATAAAACCTTTTTGATATTGAATTTTCATTTGAAGACGAGCAGGACTCAACTAATTATCGTAAATATCTCTATCTAATGTATTTATGAAAATTGATTATCTGTGACTGTTTTGCTATCTATGGTCTCATAAATTTAAATTGAACTCAAAAATTAAAGATAGAATTTAACAAACTCTTATACTCTATATCTATTACATTCTGATTTCCACGAAAGGATCCCGGTTTTAATAATCAGCAACTTAAACAATTCCGACTGGGAAAAAATATGACAACGCTGATTGTAACTTTCCTAACGGCATCTTAATAAAATGTTATAAGGCTTTTCTTTTCACCTTCCATCACGAATCGTGCATGTTTTTCTCTGTGATAAAAAAGGTTGTATAATATTCCACATATATACAATTACATAGTATACTATTAGGATTCCTAAATAAAAAGTCAATTAGTAGAACGTCGCGTGCAGATTGCACTAGATTGTGACATAACATAAATAAACGCGTTCAATATTCACATCGTATTTTCAATATCGAAAGGTCGAATTTTCTCGAATGAACGTGTTTTTACGCCCCTGCACTGTGACTTAATTAAGGGGGTTTCATTTCCATATAGCGGTTAAGTTCATTAAAATCTGCTTAATAACATTTATTACTATAAGGGGTAATCTCTGGAAATTATCAACAGCGGAATTTTCCAAGCGATAACATATTATTCAATGTTATATTACTGTCGTCACGGTTATGTAAAATTAATTTACGCGTAGAAAGTACATCACCCTTCGGTGACATTGATGAAATTATTAATTGAGCACTTTCAAAGCTTTTTCAAGTAAAAATCAGTACTCACAGTTTTGAGCGATTTTACATCTCATTTCTAACACTACACACATCACGAGTACTTAACAATTACTATTTGTTTTAACCAGCTCTCTTAAGTATCCAAAATAATTATAATTATAACTAAGGTCCCTATCTTTTTGACACTATGAGAGTATTGATAAAAAAAGGTTTGCAAAATTCTGGACTAAGACTCGAACCCACGATTAGCACATTGTGTTAATTGGTAGAGCAACAGCACAGTTCGCTGTGGGTCGCGGTTTCGATACCAGCCCTTGTCATTTATTTTTTCATTTATATATAAGCCCATGTATGCAATGATGTGAAAAATATGAACATTACACTACTTCAAAGGTAATTAATGTCATTCTAAATCCCATGAAAATAAATTTTCCCTATTTTCCTAAGGGAAATTAAGGACTCTAGTTTTGATAGCAAATAATGTGGAACTTTAACGAGGTTCAATTTACTTTATTTGGTGACTACTTGGTTGAGTTTAACGGGATTGGAGACGTATTATAATTATATTTTTGTATCCATATGTATATTTTTATAGGAAAGTAAACCGCGTTAGTAACCCTCTCTAATGCGTTAACGCACAAGTGTTCAAATTTCAAGATTAATTGAATTTAAATAAAAATTCTATCAGAAGACGAAAATAAGTTCCATTTGTTTTTAAATAATCGTAATAATGGCCTTAAAACGATTCCGCTGCAGATTTAGAATTCTTAAACAAAATTTATAATCTAATATGAAAATGTTGGACTAACGGAAATAAAAAAAGAAATTGTCATAAGCGATGTCCTTATTAATTTGTTAGTCATCGATATCTCATGTTGTAAATATTACAAAAACTGATATACTATCATTTCTTAATTTACAGCTTCTTTCCTCAACAAAAAAACAATTTATGGCTTTATGAATTTATTAATATACAATATACAGTAGTAGCATAATTCATGTGTTCCTAGAAAATATATAATAATCTGTAAACTCATTTTAATATGCTCTAACCAACACAACAAATAGTTCCAACAAACAAACTCTTCAGCTTTATATATTAGTATAGATTTCTTATTCAGAATCCAAATCTCTTTATCTTTCTCTTGTCAGTGGTTTGCAATTTATATTAAACGAATGCTGAATTGTCATTAATTACGAAGGTTGGCAACTAAGCTAGGCGAAATGCACATTGTTGCCAATCACATGTTTGCTCTAATGCTGAAATTTACCGATTTCCATCCCAAACACGAATGTGATTAACAACGTGGATTATGAATAATCAAATCGATCTCTTCAATACAACGGTTTGGATTGTGACTAACATCATTTTGTGGTTCTTATTTGAAAGATAACTTTTGCTATGTTCTACGTGGAAAACAATAAAAATAAAATATACATCAATTATAATAATAACTTTTTGTATCGAAATAAAGATCGACAGCCAGTTCTAATAGAATGCACTTACTCGGGTGTTTATCCAAAACTCTATGCTTTATTAAAATATATAATAACATGAAATAAAGACTTTACTGTTAAAATTAAACTTAGCTCTAACATAGTTATACATAATTGCAAGAGTGATATTTAGAAGCCCTTCAAAGGGTGATACGCAAATGACATACAGTCACCATTATATCATGTTATAAACACATCAACGCAACATAGAATCCTGTAAACTTGTGACCTTTACGTTCACCTACCTGTTACCCTTGTGCCTCTACACTGTTTTCCTCTGCCAATAATACAATTATATCTCTATACTAATAGTAACATTGCCATGTTATTTTTAATAGGCGTTTATAAAGAGACCTAAAGTTATTAAAAAAATAAAAGCCATTGGCTCGATGCCAGGCAGTGTTTTGCGGACGCCTGTTTCTAAAATATAGCAAATGCATTTACGGATTCTGTGCACAGTTACTGTTCACAAATGTAGAGAACGCAACCAATAAAGACAATCATACTGTTTCAGTTCAAACGAAAAACTTTCATGTATCATAGTAACTAGATGATTAATTAAGACATTGTGTGAAATATACAATTCTAAAATAAATATCTTTATTCATAAATTTGTGTAGCCCTTACCAGATTTCGTTGAATAACATGTTATAAAAATAGCTTAACTATGTAATACTAAATATTAAGGAAAGTGTAAGTGTTTTTAATTATATACTTAAATATATCTTTAGACCAATTCATTAGTAGAATATTAGATTATACGTAATTCATTTATTAAAATGTTTACAAAGATATTATGATATATAATACCTTCGATGGCACATGAAAAGGCGTGCACAAAAACGTTCGAGTTTTATTGTACGCCTTCGGCTCGTATCACAGTATACAAATCAAAACTATAACAATACTAAGTAATACAGATTATCAAACTAAGAGACAGTTCCATACATCGAAAAATGAATAGCCTGTAGAAGCACTAATAAAACCAAAGTTCTCGCAGTTCCCGAACCCTGAGATGTTTCCAGACAATTTGGGCTCGTGACTCATGACAGTAACAAAGTGAGACATAAGAGATCTAGTTTCAGTTTACGGACCATTTAAGCGAATGTCGGCGGTTGGGTTCTTATACAATATCAGTAATGAAGAAAATACTAAATAACTATGATACAAATTCGCTTAACACATGAAAAATAATCTAAGCAACAATAGACCAAACATTTGTACATTCACTGCAATTAAATCTGGAGACAGATTACAATAGGGATGACCTAGAAAAAGAATATTAAAGAAATCATAAATATTAAGTCACTTGTATTTAAATAAAACACTTCAACGTTTTAAATAGCGTTTCAAATCATTAATGTGTTTTATTTATACTACTGGCGTAAACTACAGACAGTATTTAAGTCACCTGACTTTTGTACGTCACCGTTCTATACTAATATTATAATGCTGAAAAGTTTGTTTGAACAACTGATTCAAATTGAAAAATAATGTTAATGTTGATTGGACCATTTATCGAGAAAGGCTTAGGCTATAAAACTTCAGGCTGGGACCAATA